TTGTGAAATAATTCCTAGAAATACATTTACAACAGGTATGCACAATATAAAAAGGGTATTGTATATAATGAGTGTGAAAAAATCACGCACCCTACCCTAATATTTTAGGGTTGGGGGAAGAAAATAATAAACTTTGATTCATAACTTTGAAATCGTATAAGAAAGAGCTTATACATGTATTTCTTCGCCAGAATATTGAGAAATCGCATCAAGAATGAAACAAATATTACATGGAAACAATATTATACTAGTAGTAGAAGTAAATTTATTAATTAAATTCTTACGCACTAAAGATGTTACATTAAGATACATACATGAATTAAAACAATTCCTGGTTGATGCCGACCTATTAGAGACCATCGCATGTAACTATTTCACGACTTTTGACTAACATATTTATCATACATTTTCCAAGTGTCCTTTGAACAGTTTTTTTTCATTCATTATTATACAATATTTTCCTAGACAATGTAAAAGTCACTATGGATATCAGTCATTTAGGCAAACAGACTTAATCGTTCATTTTCAAACATATGACATTCTACTTTAAAGTGAGTTTCTGTCTCCATTGACTGTCCACATGGGCATATAACAAAAATCCCAAAGTCATTTTGCACATGCAAACGATACAAGGACAAAGCATTATGTTAAACCACTTGCTCATGTGCCACTGCAGGTACAGAATGTTTTGCTGCATGTTCATGCGGCTCAAAGGAAAGTGAGTGTGGACGGGAATAAGTGGATTAACCCAAATATATATGATGACATTTTCACTGCATCAGGTACCTACAACCTAGAATATGACACCAGTCCTCACAGTGACTCTGATTATGGTTCAATAAACTTTAGAATTGTTATGGTTACCTTTTTAAGGGTTATTCTGAAACATTGCAAGTTCAATTCAACTCAATTTATTCATACATTTAATCATTATGTGTACACATATTATTATTAATAGGTGGCACCACAGGTGATGCTTAAATACCCGTACATATAGTAGTTAAATCATGAAGTATCATTATGTTGTCAACGAATCAAACCGGAATGTAATCACAAAAGTTAGATTATAATAAATAAAGGTATGGGGGATCCATGATGCTCGTTTCATTTGAAGCCAAGAAGGTGCCATATGCCATGGGGAAATTTTATGAATGTGTAGCTTCATTAATTATTATTTAAAGATGCAAGGCTACCGCATTGACGCAAATAATCTTTAAAAGTGTGATTCTTATAAGGTTGGTATGGTCAGAATTATTATTTTAGATCTTAAGTAGTTTGGAGCAGCCCCCAGGTTGGCCCATGTACCTCCCTTGAGAGCCTACCCTTCTTACTGAAGAAACAAGAAATGATATAGTCAACTAATGATTAATAAGCTAAGAGAATATGCTTCTCCAGTTTTGATTTAAGAAAAGAAATGGAATTTGACTTTTTTATTTCTTCTGGGAGATTGTTCCATATGGAGTAACCATTAAAGGCTATTGTTTTTTGCCATAATTTTCAGTTTTGCTTTAGGAAGGGTGAAGTTTGATTTGCCTCTAGTATTATATCTATGAAAATCTCCATGGGTATTGAAATAGTTGGGAAAAATAGCTTCATAATTCTTGATATCATTTTTTCCATTTAAATGCTAGTATTAAGAAAGGATATATTGTCAAAGTCCTTACTTCATGTGAAGTCAATTTCAGTATAGAACCACTTTGCCTTATAATGATTCTCATGACTGTTTGAAGCTAAAATTATGCAAATTAGTTGAAATATAGTATTGTCCCCATGTAATATTCGTTTCATTATTGATGTGATTTCTCAATTTTCAGCGAAGAAATATAAGCTCTTTCTTAAATTATTTCAAAGTTATGAGTTAAACTCTATTATTTTCTTTAACCCCCCCCCCCCCGAGCCCTCAAAATTATTAAGGTAGGGTGTAAGATTCTTTTCACACTCATTATATAAAATAACCTCTTTATATTGTGCATATCTGTTGTACATTTTTTCTCGAAGTTATAACTTCATAAGAAGTCAATTATAAAGTAAATGCCATATTTTATCACTTCGTCATTTAACGGTTTTTATTACTTTATAAGGGTTAAATTATGCAAATTAGCTTATTTGCATATCAAAAATTATTTTTTCTGAATTACTGATGTTATAACATAAATTTTGGTGAAAAATTAAGTTTGTACCTCATATACTTCCAAAGTTATGAATTAAAGTCCATTTTCATTTTGACCCCCCCCCCCTCAAATATCTGGGTAGAGGGAGAATTTTTTTCACAGTCGTTATGTAAGATACACTTTTAATATTTTGCACATCTGTTATACATATATAAATGCAACTATATGAATTATTTCATAAGTAATAACTTCATGAGAGGTCGATTAAAATAAATGTCGTATTTTATCGTTTTGTCATTTAACGGTTTTTATGACTGTATAAGGGTTAAATTATGCAAATTAGCTTATTTGCATATCAAAAATGTATTTTCTGAGTTACTGATGTTATTACATAAATTTTGGTGAACAAATAGGTTTATACCTCATATACTTCCAAAGTTATAAATTAAAGTCCCTTTTTAGTTGACCCCCCTGAAATATCTGGGTAGGGGGAGAAATTTTTTCACAATCTATATATAAGATGCACTTTTGATATTTTTCACATCTATTATACATATATAGATGCATTTTTAGGAATTATTTCATCAGTTATAACTTCATATGAAGGTAATTACAGTAAATGTCGTATATTATCATTTTGTCATTTAATAGTTTTTATGGCGGTTTAAGGGTTAAATTATGCAAATTAGCTTATTTTTGTTCAAAATATTTTTTTCTCCATTACTGATATTATTTTGTAAATTTTGGTGAAAAAATTAAGTTTGTATCTTATATACTTCCAAAGTTATGAATTAAAGTTTATTTTCTTTTGACCCCCTCCCTTCAATTTTAGGGTAAGGGGAGAAATATTTTTCACAGTCGTTATGTAAGATACACTTTTAATATTTTGCACATCTAATATACATATATAGTTGCATTTTTAGGAATTATTTCATAAGTTATAACTTCATATGAAGGCAATTACAGTAAAAGTTGTTTATTATCATTCCGTTATTTAATAGTTTTTATGGCGGTTTAAGGGTTAAATTATGCAAATTAGCTTATTTTCGTTTGAAATATTTTTTTCTGCATTACTGATGTCATTCTATAAATTATGGTAAAAAAATTAAGTTTGTATCTCATTTACTTCCAAAGTTATGAATTAAAGTTTATTTTCTTCTGACCCCCCTGAAATTATAGGGTGGGGGGTATAAAGATGAGGATATCTTATTTTCGCAAGCCTCAAACTCTAGATATCACCCCACATCATAAACTAAATATATTTTCCAACAAGAAAATGAAAAAATCTCGCGTAATACTCTCCAATATTCAAAAACAAAAATATTCAGGCTGGGTCCCTAAGTAATTGTATTATAAGTGCATAGCCTTATAAAAAGGATGATTTCGTGAGTCCATGGTATGTGGTCATAGTGGCACGTGTTGGTGAAATAATAGGGAGTTTAAGCTTGCAATGTTTTTCACAACCTAAACGACAACGCAAAATATGTAAGCGATGCATTTGTATAGGCGATTGGTCATGCATATAGGTTGGTGTTTCGATTTTATATACAAGCTTGAACTCCCTACTCACGCGGTCCTAACTTCGACCGTTATTTCTTGAATTTTTGATCTACCGGATGTTTGAAAATCAAGGATTATGCACCGTTTTTCTTCAAACTTGTTCCATTCAAAGCATAACGAAAATCCCTTTCTGATGGTACATTATTCTCTTAAACAGAGTCCCTACTTCCAGCGGCAACGAAATAGAACGCTAGAACGAGGGACTCTTTACAATAAAGTAATGCACCAGTAATGCACCGTTTTAGCTGCTTTTAATGGTATAAGTTTGAACTGAAAAACGGTGCAGTATGAGACTCGCAATCCTAATGTAGAGTCTGCTACATTAGGATTAGATGACTGAAACTCTCTTTTAAGGAAGCAAAATTAAGCTATTGGAAAGGATACTATCATATGCGTGTTTATTTTTCCGCTTAGCTTGACTGCATCATGGTCAATTGCGTGCCTTTGCGTGACTTAACCTTTGCATCAAAATGGGATAGGGCTTTGAAAAATAGATACACTATACAACTATATTGCTGTGTCATTGAAAGGTCTCGGTACGAGCTTTTGTGAGCCCCCCCCCCCCTTCCCACCCCCAACTACACATCTCCCCACAAGCTTGGTGAAGTAGATAAGGGGGACTTGAAGCAAGACTATGAAAGTACTCTCCATTTTGGCTTTGAAGGCAACTTAAAAATCGTATTGATTTTAATATCTTGTGTAATTCAGAAATAAAGTACGGATAGACAAAGTAAAAAAACCCGAGCATAACCTTATCGTGTTTTGATTCAACTATTCGTTGTATTCGTGTTGTAAAAGTAGCTCTGTGGAGGCAACTTGCATTTTATTAATTTTCAACAAATATTTAAGTAATATCTTGATAGATCAAGATGATATGTCTGGTCAATATTGAATTTGAGAGGTTTTACATATTTCATTTCGGCCATCGTTGCATGCTAGTAGAGACGGGGGCAAAATTAACAAAGTACCGCTTTTCGCCATCTTAGAAAATATTGCCGAATATTGCAGAAACAGCAGTTATCGTAACGTAGCACCACTACCCTGCTATTTGTTTATACTTTATATGCCTTTTCAGCTTCAATACCTTAGTTGGCATAAACAGCCTTCATTGAGTAAACTAATAAAACGAAGCATGAATGTTCAATAGCTCACAGTTTTTATGCTACTTCTCTCCAGCTCTCGCTAGTTAATAGAATATTTTTTCCAAAACCACCATGTCTCCTTTACTAGGAGCATACTTTAATTATTGTTTACTCCGCTGTTCTCAAGAAAATCCCCATAATCACCGTGATGATGGCATTTTACCTGGATTCATTACGACCCACTTACCTTATTCACTGCGGTAGTGCTACCAGACACTATTCGTAGACGTTCATAGCATTTGTCAATATTCCAGTACCTTTCAGTCGTTCGTTCTTCTCTTAGTTCTGCGTGATTAACATTGAATGTGTGCTCCGGGTGGATGCGTCAAGCTAACCCGAAAAGGCCTGGCTTCGAAAGAGGATAAATTGCCCCATGAATGTGATAAAAGGTTAAATTCATCTGTCGGAATCAGGGAATGAATTATGGGAATGCAGGATGTCTGCACATCCTTCTTCAAAGGACTTCATTTATGCTTAAATTCATTTATATACTTGTAAAATTCATATTAACCTATTTACACTACACGTGACATTCGAAGGCGTCTTGGCGAAACGTATTAGAAATATTATGTTGAGTTTACAACATGTTGATTTATGTTGATTTTAGTACAAACCTCCGAAAAATGCTAAAAGAGTGGTCGTTTTTATATCTCAGATTTACATTACTCCAGATCTCCCAGACTACTTGTCATTTAGTGATTTGAGACGTTCTCTCCTCTAAGGGTACTTTAAAAGATATACTTTGAATGTTAAATTCTTAATGTAGTTCACAGTTAAAACTGCTTCGTCACAGCGGGCAATAAATTTAAACATTATTTTTTTATAAAAAATATTAAAAATACCCAATACATCAAAATCTCATTAATACCTTCAGAGTTATACTGAAAACATATGTAAATATTATCGTGTCATTATATTGCTGGACTTCAAACAGAAGTTGAAGTTACCCGCAAATGATATATTCATTGCATGGAGTAAGTAATTATCTTTGGTATAGCGAAACATATGAGTAAAAATAAATTGTTTGGGTTTCTTTCTATGCAAAATAGCAGGCTCCGTCACAGCGGACACATTTTTCGATACCGGCCTGTACCCTAACCCTCATGGTTAAGGTTGATCAACCCTGATCAATCCGGTCTCGTTTACCTATTTTTCCTACGACTGGCGGTAACACGAATTCAAAGACTAATCATCCACGATTCATTAAGTCATTTTTACACATTGCTCTTGATTGTACAGCGTCACCAAAAGGAAATGCATTTTCAAGGACACTTTATGTAGGCTAAGGGGTTTGCAAAGTTTGACAATTTGACTCAATTGCATTGTCTAATGACCATGCATTACTTTCAGGCGTTGTTTCCTAAACTTAACACTCGATGCTCCACATCTCTTGCAAATTTTGGAAAGCAACAGTTACACTTTCAAGAAATGGTCATTCCACATTGCACGAAGTCCAGTGCTTAAATCCTTGGTAGAGTTGAGTTAAAAAATAAAAAGAATTGAAGTCCAATACTCAATGCATTGTCTAATGACCATTCCTTTCAGGCGTTGCCTTGTAAAATTGATACTCGATTCTAAGCATATCGTGCAAATTTTGGAAAGCAACACCTTCAAGGAATGGTCCACCCCGATGGTCCACATGCACTAAGTCCAGGGCTTTCTCAGTTATAGGTCTTGTAAAGATGGCAGTACTGCAGGTTCATGAATAGTTTACCCTGAATATAAAATCCGGAGAACAAAACCCGGAAGTAAATGGCACTGCGATTTGTTATCCAATGTTCTTAAAAAGCAAATCTGTGTCTCCTCGAAATATAGTAAATTGACAATTCTAACAATCAAAGTGCCATTTCATGGTGTATCAACTAAATATTAAGTTACTTGTGAGTTGTATTTGTGCAAAACAGCTTTGACGGATGATTGGGTTTGGCGTAATTGACCTCCCATTGCCACCATTTTAAAAATCTAGGAAACACTTGCAAAACTTTTAGAAGAAAATTGAACTTTTAGATAAGAATTCGACAACGGAATAACACTACGATGGCTGGAAGGTTACCAGCTGTTGTCATAGACAATGGAACGGGGTAAGTTACGCGATCGCATATTGCACATCTTCCTAAATATCAAGTTGAATTTGAACCGGCTAGGCTAAATCATTGAAAACTCATTTCATTTCCTGGTTTGTGATTGAGACTTTTTTAGAACTGTTCCTTGTCCCGGTTGCAGAATACTTATATAATATTGGTGAAATGCTAATATGTATATAAGATCAAATCATATGCTTCATGATTCTGTTCCTTTTATAGTACTCTCAAATGTAAACTTATGGTCAACCTCAATACACAAAGATGAAGGGTGGGGGGAGGGGTTAGTATGTATCCAACACACCGAATATAATATTCAGTCTGTTATGATTGATACCCTTCACATGGAAATTGTGGCGATATTTTGTGCACATAAATTTCTCGTTTATTACAAGAATGCTCACCTTGCGCCACAGTCTAAAAGCCTGGCGAGAGCGTCTAATGGAGGGGGCAATCAAATCTTATCAACTGTTATTAGAAGAAATTGAACTTGTAAAGATGATGGATTTTCTAATGTGTGTCCGTGTTACAAAATCAAACAATCATTCATCATCGCTATTTCGTTCTCCTTCACAGTGCGTTATACGCAATTGTTATTTTGGCTTGTTTTTATCACAAATCCATGTATTATACAAAAACCTCATTCAGATTCAAAGACCAAAGTCTTATATCGTTTCAAAAATATTAAAATAACATACCATATTTAATGTGAAGTACCCCCGGGATTCACCATATAATGACAAGGGACAAGATACATGTAATAGTGTTGTATATAATTTCAGTCATTGCGATATTACTGGTGATTGGGTCATTAGACCCCGGCCTTCTGATTGTAATTAAGAAAAGTTGCTATGTTGACAATGATGTTTTGCTACCATTCCCAAATAAGGTTTATTATCTAACAGTTTTGAATTTCTGGTTTCAGATACACTAAAATGGGATATGCTGGTAATACAGAACCCCAGTTTATTATCCCATCATGCATTGCTGTAAAAGAGTCGGCCAGTGTTGGTGATAAAAACAAAAGACTTGGGAAAGGGGTCGAAGACTTGGATTTCTATATCGGAGATGAGGCGACTGATGCTACAAACTATGCAGTTAAAGTTAGTGTTCAGTATTAGCGAGAATAAAGACACATTCTTTTACGTTATTACGGTTGTTTTTCAGTATTATCCCATCCTCCGTCATAATATATTTGAATTAATAATACTAAACTGCAGGTTGAAAATCACAGAAGCCCCCAGAGAAAAGCGGTGGTTAATTGATTGATTGTAATGATTAAGACACTATGACTTTTGAGTTACCATGGGCTTTGCCTTCATCAAAGCTTCTGACTACAAAATTAATAAACACAACACAAAATTACTGGAGATTAAAATTTTGACTTGGACATGTGATTTTGGTGAAAGCAACTGAGGTTTTTTTTTGATTTGTTGCTTATTCTCCTTAGTCTCACTCCAGTGATCTGATCTTAGCCTATAAATAATGGAGATAAAGGATTGTTGGATTAAAGATGTTAGAGGTTTACAACACATTGATCCTCGCAATCTTAAAATAGAGAGTAAAGTTGTCCCTTGTATGAACTGACTGTATGTGACAATATTGCCATAGCTGCTGTTCTGTATTTAATAAAATTGGTCCATGTTATTAACTTCCATATTTAAATTCCAGTGGCCTGTTCGCCATGGCATCATTGAAGACTGGGATTTGATGGAAAGATTTTGGGAACAAGCCATTTTCAAATATCTCCGTAGCGAGCCTGAGGATCACTACTTCCTGTTAACAGAACCTCCTCTCAACACCCCCGAAAACCGTGAATACACTGCAGAAATCATGTTTGAGACATTCAATGTGCCTGGCCTGTATATTGCTGTGCAGGCCGTGTTAGCACTCGCTGCGTCCTGGACGTCCCGACAAGTGGGAGACCGTACTCTGACTGGTACAGTAATAGATTCAGGAGATGGTGTCACACACGTTATCCCTGTAGCAGAGGGCTATGTCATCGGTAGCTGTATTAAACATATCCCAATTGCTGGCCGTGACATCACATACTTTATCCAACAACTCCTGCGTGAAAGAGAAGTTGGAATTCCCCCGGAACAATCTCTGGAAACTGCAAAAGCTATTAAAGTAAGTCATCTCCCAAGTTTAGTGGTATTCATGTTTAAGCAAGTATATCATAATTGTACAATATTATGTATACGTATGACAGGCCCATTGCCAGCTTTTTCCACTTGAAAAATGCTCATAATGGTGAAAAAGCTGCATGATTTTGAAAGAATTTTGGCCCTGAAAACACCCCCCCTGGCTATGGGCCTGATGACTTTTGTTCCATGTAAGATCAAGAAATAAACTTGAGTGGTAAGCAACATCTGCACATCATCCTTTTACTAAAAGGGACTCAATACAGAATATATGAACAAGTCTTAGAAACAAGGCTTCATTTGAGAGTTCATGCTTTAAAGAGTGTTTGTACCTCCTAAACTTAGTTCTAAGTTATTATATCACCTTACACAAGCTTAGAGTTATAGTGTGTACAGGAAATGAGCTGTATGTGACATGATCAAAATAATCAAAATGACATAATCAAAATGACATGCAAAATCTGTATTTATTTCCAGGAAAAATTTTGTTACGTATGTCCAGATATAGTGAAAGAATTTAACAAATATGATAATGACCCAAATAAATGGATACGAAAATATGACAGCACTAACGCTATATCCAAACAGCCATTCAGTGTAGATGTTGGTTATGAACGTTTCCTTGGACCAGAGATCTTCTTCCATCCTGAGGTAAGAATCACATCAATATTTTGATGTCCAAAAACATACTGTTTCATTTCAGAATGACCCCCCTGCTCCCCCTCCAAAATACCCCCCCCCTGCATCCCCTCCAAAATACCCCCCCCCCTGCATCCCCTCCAAAATACCCCCCCCCCCCTGCATCCCCTCCAAATATAATTGTAGATGTAGATTTGTACACATTTATTGACTTCTTTTACATGGAAAGTACTTCCTTTGAAAAATTAGTGTATGCTATAAAACATTATGGATATACTGTATTTACCTCCTACAAATATAATTGATAACATTTGTGAGTGATAAACCTTCACCTTAACATTTTCCTTGAGTGTAATACAACTTTGGTAAGTTTCAATAAAGATATTGCAATAGACCTCAATGAAAATAGTGCAAAGATCTGTTTAAATGTTTATGATGATAATGAATCTTCAAATGCTCAATATCGTAGATTCAATCAGATGATATATGGAAGTTATTAAATTGGAGGGTATGAATATGGGTTTTATTTCGCATTTTCCCAATTTCTGGAGTTTTTCAATACTTTAAGAAGGTACAAGGTTTTAACTGAGTTTTAACTGAGTCAAGCAAGAAGCATGCTTTATAATAAGATAGGAGTAAATTGAAGAATGTATTTGTTTCCAGTTTTCTAATCCTGATTTCACTACACCTATCTCAGAGACAGTAGATACAGTCATACAGCAATGTCCCATTGATACTAGGAGGGGCTTATATAAGGTAAGTACTAAGTACAGTAAAACATTTGTAGGTTAACACCTTTTGTACCTCAATATAAGGATATAAGAGTATAGTGTTCCACTTGGGAGGTATCTATTCAACCTGCAAAGTAGTTTCACATTATACAGTACAGTGTTCAGTGTACAGTGCAAAATTCTCATTTTCACTATTTGGACCAAAATTGGTCAAAATATGCCCCCATTTTTCATGTTTTTTCTCATTTTTAAGTGGGTGCAAATGCATTTTCAGGTGGATGCAAGCCTGTTTCTAAAATCTCAGGAGGGTTCTGCACCCACTTGCTTTAATGCTGGGGAGATCACTGATCTGTGTTCCTGTTTATGATGAAAACTTTGTGTCTTGAAAAAAATTATTTAGGTGTTCAACATATAGAGGTGTTCAATTTTACAGGTTTTCTCTGTATATGATTGGTTCTTTTGTCATATTTAATAGATACTGATGCAGCTATCAATGACATTTGAAACATACAAGTACAGTAAAACCTGTTAAATTCAAATGTTGCTGTAACAGGCTAAGTGTTCAGATTTGTGTCTTCTACTTGTAGAATGTTGTGCTATCTGGTGGTTCTACGATGTTCCGAGATTTTGGCAGGAAGTTACAGCGAGACTTGAAACGTGTTGTAGATGTCCGGTTAAAGGAAAGCGAGATGCTGAGTGGGGGCAGGTTGAAAGTAAGAACTAAACTAAATAGTTTCTATTTAACCTCTTGACTACCTGGAGTGACGAGATATCTCGTCACCTCAGACATGACCTTGAAACTCAGGGTGACGAGAAAATCCGTCACCAAATTTTTCACTAAAATTGCTCTTATTTGAACAATTTTCATCCAATTTAAACAAAACTTGTTTTAGAATTTGTAGAAATGATCTCCGCCGTGTGATTTTACTAAGTTGAGCATCTAAAGTTGTATATGAATGTAGTTAAATATCAAAAGGTGGCAAAAATGAAAAATTCTCTGGTTTCAACCGATTTTAGAGACTGGGATTCAAGAGGTTAAAGACTTGTTTGACTCACTTTATTTTCTGATCATCAACTCTAGAAAAGATAAACATACTTGTATGATTTTATACATAATATATTATAAGTTGTAGTTCAGGAAATCAAACTTTTTTGTATACTCATTTCCATATTATGAATTGCATTGCTATTTCATATTTGGAGAACAGAACTATGTATTTGTTTTTCATTAATATGAATGCTTATATCAATTTCAATACTGTGTAATATACATTAGGAGACAAGGGAGTCGAGATGACTCCAAATGTCAATATATAAAAGTGAATCGTTTCCTCATTGTAAACTGTGTATAATGTACACTTTTGGTGAATTACGATACAAAATGTACTGTGGGGAAATATCAATAGCTTTTCTCATAACATGGGAAGTATCAAATGTATATGTGCACATTTTACGTAAAATGGTTTTTAAAAGACTAGACTTTTGAGTACCCTATTGAGTTACATGTTGAGTCACTTTAACAATTCAGCCCAATAGTTTTAATCTAAGACTCAGTTCAGATGTGTTCCTCCTCAACTTAGTGTTTTCTTTTTGTTAACTTCCAGACTACTTGCTAACCCATGTTAGCAATGAAACCACCGTCTCATCAAATAAATAAAATGGAAAATGTAATGGATTTAGTGTGAAACATATTCAATTTTTATTGGTGTATCTAGCTTTGATACAGGAAGCAAATCAACTACCTCTCCCTCAACTGGCAGCCATCATCAAAACAGCAGAAAACCTTTCATCAGTTAAAAGTTTTTCAGATATAAGAGCAGACAACTAAAGCCAAGATCTAACAAGGTTTTGGCCATACTCCAGATTGATTCACAGGGAAGCCATTTTAAGCTTCAAGTGCTATTAACCACTGTGTGCCATGTTCTGATCGTTCATTGTTGTTCTTTGTTTGTTACAGCCAAAACCTATTGAATGTCAAGTGATAACTCACCATATGCAGCGCTATGCAGTCTGGTTTGGTGGCAGTATGTTGGCTTCTACTGTAAGTATATTTGCATTTATGTATGTAAATCAGTAAAAGTTCTACACCACAAGCACTATGCATCTTCACATGCTCCGGTCTTCACTGCGTTCATTCGACGGGACAACGACCCATGGGAGCCGAGTGAACAAAGATGAGCACTATGTAGACCCCATCATACTGCTAGTATAGCAACAAGAATTAACTGATAGGGCTGACTAGTTCCTCTATGGAACTAGTGTAAATTAATAACTTAAATAACTTTACATAATTTACATTTTACATAGTTTACATGATTTTACATAGTTTAATCATTGGTGAAGCGTTATGTGATTTATTCATACGTTTCCTGTATTTTTGTTTAGTACTATTAAGGTATATCTAGTTATTATTTCAATGTTTTTCTCTTGGTGCAAGAGTTGATTTAAAATGGTGCATATTTTGTATTGATTTAAAATGGCGCATATTTTGTATTTTCAGCCTGAATTTTACCAAGTGTGTCACACAAAGGCTGATTATGATGAATATGGTCCTTCCATATGTCGACACAATCCCGTTTTCGGAACCATGTCATAGGGACTATTTCATGCTCTACTTTATGTGCACATGGATATAGCAGTGATTGCCTGGACAAAGATATTGGAACAAGGAGGCTGGTGGATTGATAGTTTAATATACAAAAACTCAATATTTAGAATCCATTCCTAACATTGCCAAGCATTTAATAATGACAATACGTCTCGATGAAACATTGACCATATTTGGATACATTCTTTTCCATTGAGTTTCACTTTTTATTGGTTATATCTTATTGCATATAGCCTGCCTCAACAAATCTTAGCAAGGGCATGACCAGGATCTAGAATGGGTGAGGCAAATAGTAATATGTGAGGCTAATAATAATTGGTGAGGCACATTGATGCTGACAAGAAATGTGATTATTGGACTTCGACGGATTTGCAAAAACGCCCAAATGAATAATTTTATGTTTATTTTTATCCTGGATTCACCAATGTTTACTATGGCGTGTATGAATGTTATAAAATGTTTGAGGAAACAATACTACAAGTTCAACAAATGCACAGAAAATTAATAATTAATATAATGGCTATGGGTGCTAATTTTGCTCAAGTGTATAACAAATGTGTTAAGCTGAGTATGAGACTGAAATCAATTTGACCAAAAAAATCATTTGAGATTAGAGTTTTATAGGCACATTATCTGGATGCATGTTATATTTCACTTTTGACATGGTAATAATCTTGCATTGAGTTTTTGTACCCCCCCCCCCCCCTCGGTCATATTCTCTACCAGATGAGTTGGGGGAGGTTTGACAATAATTTGATGTAAGACGGGGGGAAATTATTTCACATTATGTACTAACTTAAAGAGGCACTGTCAGTAAGTACGAAAACTTTTGGTATCCCTTTATATTTGTACATGAGGAGGTAGTTGTGATATTATGTTAAGCATATGAAAAACTGTCAATAGGTATTTTGTATTGAACTGGAATTATCTTATATCATATATCAGTTCATAAAAAAATCCACATATTAAAATATTTGAATCTTACAGACTGTCTCCCTTTAATTAATAATAATTAGACTGAAATCTTTGAAAGCTTTGGTTGTAAGTTGTAACCTGAATTGCTAGAAATCAGTACATAATTGTAAGTAATCTTTATTGTATAAAAAGAATGTACATTATAGGAAATTACCATTTTATACACTAATGAGTTGTATGTATTGTACATAATAAACAAACACATCCAAGCATTTGTCAAACTAAATGTTATTGATAATATAAAGAAAGTATATAATATTAATTATGTTTTCTGTTTAATGTTCATAAAATAGCTTTAAGAGGCTTATAGTTCCAGGTTGTAATATTTTCCATATTTCCAGTGGAACTTGACTTTGGGGCCATATCTCAAATTATGAAAAAAATGTTGTCATCATCTTGTGCTACTGGGCATGCATGTGGGTTGACAGGCACCACAAATCTTCTGGAAGATTCCAGGAAAACTTCTTGCCTCTTTAATCCGGTACTTTAACAGATGCAAGGGTAGACTAAGTGCCAATATCTGACTAGGTTTTGGGCATGATGGGTAAATTACTTGGCAGCCATGTGCAAATATGAAATTAGTAGTTTAACAGCTTTTTCACAAAAATCATTTTTTCCTATTTTCCGCCTAGAAGAGAAACTAAAAAAGTCATCATTATACCAATAGGTGGCAAGATATACTGCACTGGGGTATTCCAAGTACCACAAAGGTTTTGCCCTTTATCACAGGGGGCAGTGTTCGTATAAACATACAGGTTGTCTCATCTCATGTGTAAAATAGTCCACAATGCATATACGGGTTGCCATGGCAATAATGAATATACCAGTGCTACTGAAAAGGTGAAACAAAATACAACAAAAGTTAGAATATTACACTTTGAAGTGGTTTTAATTGTTTCCTGGTTAATAAAATTTTTAGCACTCATGGGACACCCTGTATACTAGATTAGTAATTCTGACTCAGTCACAATTTGGGTTCTGAGTAGAATTTTATCCCTCAAAGATTTTCACAGTTGGAAATTTCTCACAATGTATTGTAAACTGCACATGTATAAATATACACCTCACTCCATAAGTTTGATATCAAAGAGTCCCCATTTGGTAGCATGTGTTAAAACTTGTGGAGGGAAGTGTACATGTATATGGAATTATATGAGGATTAATTTGCCTTCAAGGTTATTTATGTACATGTATTTAGTAATGCCTATTTGCATTCGTTGATGTGGAAAAGAGCTCATAGTCAATGGACACACATGTGCAATCAGTGATTGTTATGAATGAAAAGTGTCAAACAAGAAAAGTGTTTACAAAATTGAGGATGACTGATGGTGAACATTTTGTGCAAGACTATATTTTGGTGGAATTTTGCATAATAAATAGATATAAGCAATACAAAAATGACATTTGAACTTGAAATGAATTCATGTATAGTTTCTGACTGTAAACATACCATCGTAAAAATGCTTACTGAGAGTTGAATTGTCCATTGCAATTGAAGCTCATAACGAACAAAGTTTATATTTTTCATATTTTGCAATGGCTATTGCTTCAGTACATGGGATTTTCATTACAATTTTGATAGTCATATTTTCCTGTGAGTGTATCTGGTTCATGTGTACGTATAATGATGCCATCTTCAACAAGAGGAGCTACAAAAGCCCTCACCCAACACATGGTCAGAAGTTTGAAGGGGAAAGGAATTTACAAGGAGTGGACAAAGAAAAGAGACTCGTTGTAATGGGTAAGGTATGAATGCACACGATTTTATCAAGTTTAAGGTGCTATGGAAGTTAACAGGAAATGACAAAACAGGAAGTGACAATTTTTTTTGCATTTTTAGATATTTTTTGAATAAAAATAACAGAGTTCTGGTTTGACCTCCAGTCAATTTAACTATTTCCACATATCATTTACATGACCAGGATCACAATGTGCATGGTCAGAATGACCCTAAACATGATGAAATAACCTTTTTAGCCCTTTGAAAGTGTGACTGAAAAAAAAGCTAAAAGTAGGAGCGTAGGGATAGTCACTGAACAGAATCTTTTGAATTTTTCAGAAAATGTGCCCAATATAATGCTCTAACTAGTACAATCTTTGAAATATTAGAAAATTGTCTTAAACAAAAATGGCAGTCATAAAAAGGAAAATAGAACGCTTTTCAAATCAGTTTTTTCATTTCTTTTTCTTTTTCTATGAATGATATCAAATTTTCAAAGATTGTATCATTTAGAGCAATATATTGGGCACATTTTCTGAAAAATTCAAAAGATTCTGTTCAGTGACCTTCCCTACGCTCCTACTTTTAGCTTTTTTTCAGTCACACTTTCAAAGGGCTAAAAAGGTTATTTCATCATGTTTAGGGTCATTCTGACCATGCACATTGTGATCCTGGTCATGTAAATGATATGTGGAAATAGTTAAATTGACTGGAGGTCAAACCAGAACTCTGTTATCTTTATTCAAAAAATATCTAAAAATGCAAAAAAAATTGTCACTTCCTGTTTTGTCATTTCCTGTTAAGTTCCATAGCACCTTAAAGAGAAGTCAATAAAGCATTAAACACCAACTTGGTAAGCACTTATAATGAATGTAAAACGGAATCAATCCTTGTAAAATTACCACATACAGTTTGGAACATAAATAAATGACAGGTGGATTTGCTAAAAATGTTAAAATAAGAAAATTTTCAAGAGGCCATACATCAGTGGATGAGATTATACAAAATGTAAAATATAAAAATTTGAAGGGATATGTATCTAGACAATATTGGAAATTATGGGCTTTCAGATGACCATGATTAGGAAATGGTGATCGAAAATCGACCTGTCATTTATTTTTGTCCCCAACTGTATCTGCATATCAAGCAAAAATGCAGAGATATGTAAAATATTCATAAAATAATGTCTATTTCGATGTCTTTATTTTCGTAAACTCTCAATATGTAGATGTATGATCGCATTGGGGTGTAGCTTATCATATTTCTATACCAATTATCTATCCAATGATGTTATTTATTGTTGTTTTGAGATAAGGAAATTATCATTTGACTTATAAATTTATGGTGATTTTGAGCTTGGTTCCCTTCTCCTTGGTACAAATGTATAAACATGAGGAAGATATTAAGGTGTAACTTGTGAATATATACATAAAATTGGGAAAATTTCTTTCATGGTAATGGAAATCATGAAAATTCTTCTAAACATGTGGAACTGTCTAGCCTGATGCAGTTGCAAGTTGTCTTGAAGCTCAAATATCCCCACACAAAACATGTAGCACCCTGTATAAATTCTTCTGAAAATACCAACACTTGAAAAACTACAGGCTGAGTCACATGAATAGAATTTAAAAATGTCATGGACACACACTTACAGGGTGAACAGATTTTTCAAGATTGAAAACCGAGACTGAAATTCACAGAAAAGTTCTATTTCTAAGTTTATGATTGTGAAAGTTACAGATTCTTGTGATTTTATAAAAGGGGCTATTATAGTATCAGAGATGGCTATTGGTCCATTTCAATATGTCTCCATTAAATAAAATATTTTTCCATGAATCAAACGTATTAAAATTATTCCAGATGGGAAAGTGCGCAATGGTACCATTTAAAAAGATTTTACCATGAGGATTCAAGCAATGAATATCATATAAGAAATATGAAAGGTGCATAAAGCCCTATTGTAATTTGGAATATCTCTATATACAGGGTGGTCAAAAAATGGAAACCCTGCATTTTCCTTATATCTTTGTCACTTTAAGAAATTACTCCCTGATATTTCACACATTTGTACATCATTCAATTTCCTACCACCCTACCATATTTCATGACCATCAGACTGATAGTCACAATTTTACAGCACTTTGAATAACATGCTTCAGATTTGGCATTATCGCGCTGTAGGCAGCGAAAACAGCACAGTTGTCAATGACCCGAATGCATTCCTCAGCAGGTATGGCCTGAATGACACAAATGATCTCACTTTTGAGGTTTGCAATTGTCCTGAGGTCATTCTCATATACTCTATCTCTGCCATATCCCAACAGGTAGGGACATTTTAGACGATGAGTACAGGTTTCCCCACAACGCAATAGTGGCCACTGGGCATGTTCTTAAAAGTACTGTAACATTGTGACTATCAATCTGATGGTCATGAAATGAAGTATGCTGGTAGCAAATTGAATGATGTACAAAAGTGTAAAATATCAGGGAGTTATTTTTTAAAATGACAAATATATGAGGAAAATGGTATTAGGGTTTCCATTTTTGTTGACCACCCTACATGTACTCCCTCCCCACAGGTACATGTATATGCTCATTGCTCATCTTTTGCATTATTTTTCACAGGCCTTTCGACATGATTCAGAAACATTCCTCACGAACAGCACATATGATGGACGTGAACATCAACATTTGAAGTTTATCTGGTTGAAATCCACCGTGATGAAACGCATACTGTCACGAGAGCTCTACAAAGAATTTATAGATCTCTTCCGTACATTAGACCAGGCATTTACTGAAGCTAATATAACATATGTGATGTCTGATGGCACATTGCTGGGGTCGTATCTTTGTCATGGTATGATACCCTGGGATGATGATGGTGACCTTATGGTTGATATCGCAGATAGACCTAAGGTAATTTGGACTACATGTATGTCTTCTGCAGTGATGAGTCTTATCAGATGTCTCTGAATTCATTTGCCCTTTTAAACCTCTTTAAACCTTGTTTTGGGTCTAATACCTCATTGTGTAAAGGAATGGGAACTTATGTCTTTATGCCTTCCTGTTCCATCTTATCCTGATGGACTACCCCTCCCCCAAGAGTGATGTCAAAAGCATTTTCTTTACTATTGTATTAACCCCAGTATTTCAATTTCTTTCTCATTGAAGTCCTTATTTTGAAAGTTTTTGTAATTTTCCTGTTAAAAATTAACTTTATCAAATACACTATTAACTAATAGGCAATCATTCTGCATGATTAAGTTAGACCAAATCCAGCCTGTTTTGGTTTGTTCAAACACTATGAATTGTACGGTACCTCTCAGTTGCTGCTGCATCTTCATTGAGAAAACATTATAAATAGGCTAAAAATGCTTTTCTTATTTTACAGGTTCACTTTGTTTTGGGAGAACTAAACAAGAAGGGGTTTGCTGCACATGGGTACCATGATGAAAATGATGAATATGCTAAATTTAACTGTAAAGATGAACCAAGACAAAAAGAATCTAAACCCACGAGACGGCTTTGGCATAAATTCAAATTCTACAAATGTGACCATCGCCTGTATAAGCCCGTCCCTAAACTGCACTACAACTGGCCATTTCTCGATATCAAATATTTTGAAAATGATATATCATCAGAATATATCCGGAAAAAGGACTTCACCGATGGGATTGTTCAGTTAAAGAAATGGGGAGAGTTTTACCCATTGTATAGAAGACCCTATGGACCTCTATGGTTACCTTCCCCAAGGGACACATTGAAATACCTGAGACTGAAATATTTAGCCAGGACAAATTTCACAGATATCGAATGTAAGACAAAAGGTTGGGATCATATCAAAGAGAACTGGCGCCATACACAGAGTGCAAATTGTGATTTAATAAGACAAGTTTTTCCTGGTGTTTCAAGAAAAATCGTGAAGAGTGATAATCCCAGGGGAACGAGAAGTGTACTGGAAACTCTAACATTGAATGGAACTGTGCTGCATACTGTTGAAGTTAAAGGACAGACTGATTACCATTTCCCTGCGCAATCTTACTCTCTTATATAAAGATGCTGATTTTTTTCCGGTGCTTCATTTTGCATGTTCAAAGAGAGCTTCATATACACTCTATTTAATGCAGTATTAGCTTGTTTTCATGTTGTTTTTTGGTGTAGAAAAGTAATACATTTGTAACCAGAAATATAGATTATGACTATTTGGAATGACATTGGGCTATGTATAAAACAACATTTCTTATCCTACTAATATTTTTGAATTTCTATACAAAGTGGTGATATAAGTAAGGTTAAGTAACATGGTTTAAGAGAAATGGTACATGAACATGTAAATGACACACAGGAATTACAATTCCTTCGCTTTTTTGGGGTATTTCCGGGCCTTTTTGGGCATTAAGTTTTTAATTTTAGGCCAAATTTTCAAGAAAATGGGCCATAAATGTTCAAAATTTGGGCCCAATATTTACGGTTTCAAGGGCCAAAATGTGGAAAAAATCAGACTTAAAATATGGGCCCCCTTTGTTAGTTTGCAGATCTGCCCCTGCATTATTACAACTTTTCGTCTTATACCTTGATGCTCCAGCGAGCAGGTAAATACTGCAAAGGGGAGAACTTATTCTGAAAAAGAGGACCATAATTCCACATGTTCATATTCAAGTTCTTTAAAAATGTGTTGCTTAACCTTCCTTAATTATTCACTTAAGTGCAATATATCATAGTTCAAACATCTTTCTCCCGGACATGAAATTAACATAAAAATGTAAGGATTGTTTTCATTTCCAAAATTTGGAATAAGGGTTTATTGAAAAAAACAAACAAGACATTATTTTTAACCAGAAATATACATATTACAACTATAATTATCAATAACATTGGGCAATGCATAAAACACATTTCAAAACTTTTAAAACAGGAAAAACCTTCCATCATTATTTTCATACATTAACCCATAAAATATCTAACAGTTTATATATTGTGGAAACTATGTGTAATATACATCTGTATAATTCCTGATATTTTGTAATCCATGTGAAAAATGAAACAATTTTTGATAAATAACAAATTTTTAATTTCTTCATTCGACAAAATCCAGATTTTTCATTCCTTCTTCAAAATATTAATTTATAAATTATAACAGTCTGTGGGGTTGATTTATTGAAGAAAATGTTCATGTACACAAATGACTGCCTTATATACATACTGTACAAATGGTACGTGAAAGAATGTGCAGATGTGGTATGCTTTACATGATTGTCTACCTACATAAAAGTGAACAATTTTCTCATTTATCATATAAGTGACAAGTACATAAAAAGTACAAACTTTCAAACATTAGGGATAACTGTCATAAAAAATCAATACAGCCAAACCCAAACGTCAATCCTGCTTTTAGACAGTAATAATTAATTTAAATTAAAAATTTGAACTCCATTCAAATTCAAATCCAATTAATAAACCTTTTACCAAACACCAGCGAAAATTAACTTGGTGGTAATAGGCATACATCAATGTTTCAACGCCATCCTGACGTACAAATTGGTTGAAGACTGACAAAAATGATAATAAAAATCCTCTTGATACGAAACAACTAATACACTACATAACATGTATGTAGATGTTTTTTCAAACTCTTATGTCTCACACCTTATTGAACTTTGTTTGGTCGGAAGCATATGTACATTAATATGAAGCGAAATATACAGCTTTTTTAGAAGTCATATAAATGAATCCGCTAGAAAATGGATTTCTGTACAATTTGGCAAATGGTAGAGACAGTGAAATGTTGAGTATGTTCAAGTGATTTTACAATTCAGTGATTTTACAATTAAGTAATTATTTTACAATTCAGCAATTTAACAATTCAGTGATTCAACACTGATATTACTGCTACAAACAGACAACAAAAAAGATTACTCTAAACACCCTAAAATGTATGTTCCTTAACACTGACTGTGATACCTCAAAAATGAAATTGTTGAATTTACTATAACAGAACCTTGAAACTTGTTTTGCAGGAACAAATCTGTGAATGTTACAATTAAGATAAATAATTAAATCCCATCGAACCCCAAGTTTCAGTTTTCAGCATTCGATTGGAGTACCACAGTCACTGTAAAAAGTATTTATATTTCACCGATTGTAACAGGTTATGAAATTCACATTCAACAAGTTGCAATACAGGGTGTTCAAAAGCAGCCCAAGAATTTAATTGTTAAGAAATTTAAAAGTAACAAACAATTGTTCATCTTCAGAGATTATCAATACCATATTTTCTCAAAATAATACTGACTCATTAAGAGGCCCATGGGCTATTCATTGGAAATACTTTAAATTTTCAAAATTGTTTGAATGTTTTAATCACCATTAATGTTAGGCTTGTACAGACATTGTGAACTTAGTTTGTTGCATCGACGCATAGTTAACAATATCTTCAAACAATTTTCAAATAAATGCCCAGTGGGGCTTTTAGTGAGAGTACTTTAAAAATTAGGGGTATGCATCTTTATTCTTCAAGAAAATATGATATATCTCTCTGATTTGATGTTATTTATATCTTTATGTTATCATAATACAATGATTTAGTTTAGTTAAACCTAGTAGTAGCACAACTACCAGTTTTGGGTCGAATGAAATGGTTTTCTCTTGGTTTGTCCTTACACTTCCCTCAAGCCATGCACCATAGATGGGCATATCACAGTAATATTATATTCAGCTGTTTGTGATTGACTAGATTTCTTGTTCAATATTTACAAATTATGCCTCGTAATCCGCCCACAGACTTGAAGAAGTTTTTGTTCATGGTAAGGTGGACAAATCAGGTCCAAACAGACTGACAAATCAGGTCCTATCAGACTGACAAATCAGGTCCTATCAGACTAATAATCAGGTCCTATCAGACTGAACATTCAACAGCTTCAACAGGGCTCTATACCTGGTTCCATGTGGCGTCTGACAGCACAACCTAGCATTTCTCAATGCAAGGGTCTCGTAATCTCATAATTCACAATTAAACAATTTATAAAATTTAGATTGATTAAAAATATTCCTAAAATTGTTTTTACTCTATCATTCTTCAGGTGGAGGAGGAGTCCAAAAACACTCATTTTTTAAATAGTCCGTCATTGTGTGGTATAGATGCGGCGTTGTTGTTTCCCCAGAGATAGCATGATTTTTGTCTGTATAGATCTGGAATGAAGAGAACCCTGTTAACCAATTGAAATGGACATTCTAAATAGTATATCAATCTTAGGTAAGATTCCCTTTATTGATGTACATATAATTGTTGATGGTCAACAATATAAACAGTGTAGTCATGTCAAGATACAGTATGGAAATTAGATCTCAAGTACTATATGGTCTCTTCTGTTTACTGAAAAATCTTGTTTCTTTCATACAATATCAAAAATATATATTCAAATGTTTTTCCATTAATGAATGAACTAACAAGTTTTACAAATAGTAAAAGTGCGGAAGCCACCTTAGACCTAAAAAGACAACTTGGGTGCACTTAAAAACAGGAAAACTGTCCTCAGTGACAAAACTAATTAAACTTTGAACAAATAGGTCTATCATAAAACTTTTAAACTAAACCTTTTTGGTAATAATCGTAACTCATAGTCGACTCTAAGCTTTGAAGTGCACTGTACAGAACACATTGATATCTGCTCACTTCTACATGTATATACAAATAAGGCAACAGCTTGTAACATGTCCCCACCTTTTTTAAACCATTTCATTCCACTTAGAGTATTCCCGGTGTGCCAATATATCCCCACACTTTAGGGGTAGGGACATAAAAATACAACATATCACATCAAAGATTAAACCACGGAATTCAGTACTTCTAGTGTCAAAATAAACAATTTTATAAATACAAACCAAGAAAATCAAGAATTTCTGGACATTTGGGCAAAAATGTTCACGGTTCATTTCTACTTTGGCCAAGTACGTTTAAGTATTCCTTGCACGATCCATGTTTTAATCAGTAGATGTACCATAACACGGCTAAGAGAGGCTATACGTTAAATGTTAATATTGTATACTGTATGTCAAACACAGGACAAGTAAATCTGCTTTTAGGCTTATATGGTAATCCTACACGGGCTCAATGACTAAATGGCATACATGCATACATCCTAATATACATCATCAATTAGGGGAGGGGGCGGGGGGAGTTGAATATACACTGATTGCCTTGATTGATCCAAGGCCTGTCACAGATTTTGCTATTTTTTTATTGTCTGAAATTATTTTTCTCATCTTGGACTTCATATCTATGATCAGACTTGTTCATTATATAATATTATAAAAGGAAAATATAAGGCCAAGACCTTTGCACAAAATTGTATGGAAGCTACATATTTTCAATAATTATCACATATACTGTGTCTGAATTTTCTTAATAAGCTGACAGGGATTTCTACAGGTTACAAATGCTAGACAATTCACACGTTAAGACATACAGGAAGTCTCTTTACACTTTATACAAACTTTGTATTGTAACTGTAAAGAAACTTTATGGGCATCCTGTATATTGGCAATGGTACAACATATAAGTGTTAGAGACATGCAGCACACACAAAAACCTCTGTTGCTCAGGACCCATTGACTGTATATTAGAAACTATTCCACTGCACATTGTATCCCATTATCCCGTACATTAGAACCCATTATACTGCAGATTAGAACCCATTGTCCTGCACATTAGAACCCATTATACTACAGATTAGGACCCATTATCCTGCACATTAGAACCCATTATACTACAGAATAGGACCCACTGTCCTGCACATTAGAACCCATCATACTGCAGATTAGGATCCATTGTCCTGCACATTAGAACTCATTATACTACAGATTAAGACCCATTGTCCTGCACATTAGAACCCATTATATTACAGATTAAGACCCATTATCCTGCACATTAGAACCCATTATACTACAGATTAGGACCCATTGTCCTGCACATTAGAACCCATTATATTACAGATTAGGATCCATCATACTGCACACTAAGGCCCATTATAATGCACATTAGAGGCCATCTTTTTCCACATAAGGATCCACCATATTAAATATTACATTCCATTTTACTGCACATAAGGACCCATTATATTACAGATTAGGACCCATCATACTGCACAGTAAGGCTCGTTGTGATTACCAAACTTTTGGAGGGGAGTGTATCCGACCCAGCTAAGGCATTTGACAGTATTGGATCTCCAGCAACAGAGGTTTAAGACAAAGCACATGTAGGGTGTTACACAAGGTTTCCTTTACATTAAGCTTCATGATGATCAGGCAATTCCATGCTTAGTAGTTTGAATATCTAACTGAACAGTCCAAATTTAATAACGAGGGTGTTTGAAATTTTAACGATAAACTTTAGATTGTATCTATAACAAAAGCTAGGCATGAGAAATTGATTCTTCAGCAAATGTAAGCTTAAGCTTTTTCTTTATTTTTCAAATTGATTCGCATAAAAATGCTAGCCACTATGAAGCCTAATATAAAGTAAAGCACGAATACAATTGCGTACATCTGAACCGACAATATGGCTGCCTTCATCAACGCGCAGCTGTAAGAAAGAAACAGAGCAAACACATATTAGCTTAATACCATTAGCGTGATACCATTAGTGTGTTACCATTTACCCTTAGCGTGATTTAAAGGCACAATACTAGATCACATTAATTATCCTAATTCTCATTTATCCTAGTAAATCGGGTATTAGAAATAATACAAATATCATATTCAATGATATTTCAGCATAGCACAGTGAAACGCAAGAACATTGTAAATGTGTACAATTGTACATAGACCATATCCTCCCTATTAAACTGAATTCAATATACAGTAAAACCTGTCTTATCTGAACGCCTCTGGGACTCGCTAAAAGTGTTCAGATTAGCAGGTGTTCATATTTCAAGATTTCTTAATGTGAATCAATGGGAGATTACAAAACTGGGAGCGAGAAAAAGTTTTCATATTGAGAGAGAGTCGGATTTGAGCGGTGTTCAGATATACATGTTTTACTGCCTCGATAAATTCTAAATTCCAATTATGTTTTCATTGATTCTGTTAGATATCAAAACATCTATGCATGAAAAATTACAAAGTTATTTGAGTTGGAATTGACCTCTTCCCTCCTCTCAGAATCAAAGCTACACTGTGTTTGTGTGTGTTTATTAGTATATTTCTATAAAATCACAAAATAATTCTCTCCACTTCAATAATTCTTGGATCGATAGACTATTAGATAACTTCATCTTAAGTTTTGCAATAAGTCGTCCCCCCATAAGGAGCTGGACTCCCTCCCCCTATAAGGACTCAAAGCAAGAATTTTATCCCTCATCTGATATAACCAAATTCCAAAGAATTTTCAAGTGCTTTCAATCATATCAAACAGCATTGTTTTTAACAGGGAGAATATGGCAATATGTATCTTATTTTGTATACAATCTCAGCCAGCTATTAAGAGAAATGAGCAATGCGACACAAAATTATAACAATATTCAGTGACATCAGTTAAAGTGACAACGGGCCATACTTTTGGTCATTTTTTAGCTATTCAAATTTATTTTCAATGGCTAGTAAGAAATTAACAGTAAATATCCTGGAGATACAATTGTATTTTGTTACGACTAAATTCATTTCTTAACTTTCATTTCTGGATTCATAAAAAATTTTCGGAGCAGAGGATTTTTTCAAATGTTATCTCCATCACGCAATATGAAGCTTAACACGTACACAACTGTATCTATTTGTTTTATTTTTTTTTCATTTATAAGATGGCCAGTGCCACTTACATTTGATCGAAGTCATAATCCTTCAAAATCGTTGAATCAAAAACTATCAAGGTTTTCTAATATGTTTATGTGACGGGAAGAACTACTTTGAAGGTAATTAGTTAGTTGATTGATGCTCTAATGCAGAAATTTTGTGTAGATTCAGCTGAAGTGTTACACATAATACCAATGGAGTTCTACTCAATGTGGGAGTCAAGAGGATGTGGTATTGGATTAATATTTGTGTATGGGGTATATACACCCCCTAAATAAGTTTGGCAACTGGAAATCCCAACTGGATAGCCCGTTTAAGCTTGTTAATGCTGGAAATTGAATTCTGATCCTTAATAACAATAGGTTGGAAAAAACTTTGATGAAGATGTTATAATCGTCAAACATGAACAAGCTTCATGACGTGGCCCAAAATGAAACTTCTAGCTGTCAAACTTTCGGAAGGGTGCCTATCAAATCCAATCAAATTTGCAGAGAGCAGGGGTCAAAGATACTAATTCAGAGCGAAAGATGTATATGCAGCACCCATTTCCAATAAGCGAATCAAAAGACAAACTACATTCAAATAGGGCAATTTTATCAAACAAAGAATAGTCGAAGAATGTAGAATGCACCTAGACCCTGTACCCCCCCCTCCCCCCCACTCTTCTCTCTTACTCAGCCTTAGTAAAAAGGAGGTAGTGGGTCAACGGTGTCTTAATACTTAATTAATGGGATTAATCTATATTTATATCAAGAATTAGATATTACTTCTGCCAGACCAACATTGAAAAAAAAAACAGACTAAGGGCGTGGCATGCCACCTTTTTATTAGGTGTATTCTACAGCAAGCACCTCATTGTCTGAGATACTGTATGCTGTCTACATTTGGTATGGACCCAGAAATGAAGGGGCAGGCCCAAAATTACAATCATTTTCATTGAATCTTGGAGTCATTTTTTCAGTGGAAAGTCTATTTTGGAAAAGTATATGGGCAAATTTAAGGGGAAATAAAAAATAGACCCATTTTTCTACATCCTCCGTATCACAGGGTTACAGAATCATACACAAAGTTCCTTCTTATAAAAGAAGGATGGAACTTTGCATTATGATTCTGCAACCCTGCGATACGGAGGATGATCTGTGTACAAACATGTTTTAAACAACGAAATGTATCAAAACATGTATGGGCCCAAAAAATCTGAGATTTGTACCAGTTTTTTTTGAGAGTTCACCGATGTATAAAATATGAAAGATAAAAGTCTTGTCTAAAATGTCATTAAATAGTCTCATACCTGTGTGCTATACATAACACCATGGTGTGTGAGGGCCTTCATAAGCTGAGCAGAATTCTGGAAGTGCACATTATCTGAAACAAGAAAATAAAATAGACAATACACTCAGCGGTGTACACAAGTGGTAAAATATCTATATTATGTGGTTAAGAGTCGTGGAACAATGATAGCTAGTAAATGGGCACATTTATTTATTTTTGGGCACACTCTGTTCAAATTAAAAGTACCTTTGTTTTTTGGACAAAGTTGATTTTTTAATTGGTGGATTCTGAAAAAGACACAGTGACCATGATCGTTACTGCAGGATAACACTGTTGCTTAATACTAACCATCTGCTGTGCCATGTATCAGGAGCAGACTATTGTTCTGGAAATTCTCAGCTTTAGCCATAACTTTAGATTCCTGCAGGCAAAGGTAACATAAAAGGTGATATGAATACGAGGCAAGTAACTGCATTTAGTGTTTTTTTAAAAAAAGTGTCACATTAGTTTCAAAAAATAAGCGAACATTTCATGCAATTTGCTGCTATGAGATGTACCAAAAATAAAAACAAGCTGACTACAATATCGTACATCTTGTTAGGTACGATAAAAAATTCGTTGACCTATCATGTTTAATCTTCACAATAAATCAGTACTGTATTTTTCAAGAAGTTTTTGAATTAAAGAAATCCTCCATGTCCATGTTCTTTGTTGAATTAAATTATTTTAAGCAATTCTGATGTAACAAAGCTGATTATCTACTCACGTCATATCCCTTGTAATTGCCACCATCAGTGTGGAATGGCCGCTGCATATATCTCTCTGTATAGATAGTATCTGTAGAAAAAGGAATTCAACTTAATAATCAATAGCTAAAGCAACAATGCACATTGCACATTCATTTCTAAATGCATTACTTCAAACAACCAAGAGCTTTTCTGAAAGTCCATGCTTCAAATTGTTGGGTATGCATGAGAAAAAAATCATTAAATATTCACTTTTTGTTAAATATATCCAATATTCATACCATCTAACTTGGACTTATAACTTCAGGTTGTTAGATAACACTTATTATCGTAAAATAGTTAGATTTCTATTGTATTTTCTGTTATTTCATTCTGCATTTGCTGTCAAACTGCTTGATTGATACAGTAAACATAGTAAAACCTGTCTAAGTAGAACACCTTTCAAATTGGTACCTGTAAAAGGTGTCCACTTGTAAGGTGTTCATTTATTGGTCTTGGGACTCTGAAAAGCGTTCCACTTCTAGAGGTATTCCACTTCATAGGTTTCATTGTACTCTTATTACAAGTGGAAAAGCTCCATGTTAAATGAACCTCTGTATTAAGTGGAAAACCTTCCAAGTGGAACACTGAATAGGAACCAATGGTATTCCACTTACATAGGTTTTACTGTACTATATTGTTTTAGCTCACTTACCATAATATGACCAATCAGTGACTGGGGCTACTGCTATACCACACTTGAACACTGGATCTGCTGCCCCCAGAACATGAGTGGTCACAAAGCCACCATAGGACTACAAAACACCAAGATTGCTCATTATATAGACAGTTAAAAGTAAATATGATTGAATAGTTTATTCTGATTTGTTAGTTTAATTAAGTAGAATGTTCAAGGATTGATGGTACAGGGGTTTGTTTATAGAAAATCATTATTCAATGTTCCTAATTTCAATTTCAATTTTTCATGTTGATGTGAAACTTTTAAAAGACAACATCACAGATCATAATTCATTATAATTTTGAAAAGCAATTTCAAATATAACATGCACCATCATGCAACAAAATACAAATAATCTGAAGATTAAAAAAAACTGTTTGTTTTACTTACCCAGCCCCATATAGCTGTCCTAGCTTCATCAACATAATGTAATTCTTTCAGGAACCTAGAAAAGAAAGATTGATATGCTAAAGTTTGTCTGTTAATGAATGGAAATGAATACAGCTACACAAGGATAACTTTGAGGTATCCACAGATCATACTCATATGGCAGGCCCGTAGCCAGGATTTGCCAAGGGGGTTCAATTTTCAAAAAGTTTCCAGGGGGGGGTTCACATTTGACAATTTTGGCCCAAATTAGGCTAAAATCACTTGAGAAGTGCTCAAAATGGTCAAAAACTGCATGATTTTGAAAGAATTTTTGGCCAGGGGGGGTTCGCCTGAACCCTGTGAACCCCCCCTGGCTACGGGCCTGTATGGTCTCTGAGTAGCAAGGGATGATCTGATAAGTGTTGCCTATTGGCTTTTCTGATTGCAACGCTAAGATAAAATTTTGATTGGTTGAAACTTCTATCAACTGTACTTTTGCTATGGTCTTGCCGATCTCATTTCTCATAAAAAATCTAATAGAACCACCAGATTTTGCACCATTTCTCAAATCAAATAAATGGAGGGGTTATAAGGATTTATAAACCGGATATAAGCAGTCATATGAGAGAAAGACATATGAGAGAAAGGACACTTGAATATCATAGTAATTTCATGATTTTCTCTACAAATAACGGCATGCTTCCTGATAATTCTAAATAAACAATTCAGACCGAGAGTGTTGAATATCCACCTGTTTTTTAATTATTTTTACTGATTCAACTCTATTTTCCACATTTATACTTACGCTCCTCCTGTTAACTGATCTTCAATTTCTTTTGTACCAAGCTGTCTGTATATCTCATGGAGGAATTTGTCTCCCTTGTAGCCACTGCCTCTGCCATCTATTGAGGCATATATGTACCCTAAAGAGCTGGTCAGATACGTGGACCAGTCTATCCTGTATAAGTAATTCACTTTCTGGCTATTAGGACCCCCATAGCTGAAACAAAAGGTTATCCACGTCACTAATTTATGTCACTAATCTATGTAATACATGTTTAAGCGTCGTGCATGTATAAGATCACATAACGTTTCAGGGCAGGTAACAATAGACAAGTATTTATTCTAATCTGCCACTGTACACTACGACTACTGTACACTATGACTACTGTACACTATGACTACTGTACACTACATAGAAAATGACAGTGTTCCAAATACATAGAAATACCATTGTATTTATTTATTCAATCTTAGATGAATATCTTTATCTTCAAATGAAAATATTAAAATTATCTAGATCTGACTATCATACTTACACATTTACTAGTAGGGGATATTTAATTATTTCATCCTTCTTAAGTTTTTTAGGGAGATAAACTTGTATCCAGGTTTCTGCAAACAGAACATTTCATCAATTGAAAAAAATATCATCAATTTAAACTTGAAATTACAATTGATATGAATAAAATAAGAATCTATCATTCAGAAAATACATTCCTTTATACAATTGAATACATCATATATACTACTACATATATGGTGTATCACATATCCATACTTTCTAAGAATTGAGACCAATTTTTTCCAGGAGCTTGTATTATCCATCCTGTTTGTCCAATTGAGATTAATGTATGCAAAGTGAATCATAAAATCCATAGTAACATACTTACTGTACCCCCCTACATCAATTTCATGATATTCTAGTTTTGGTAAAGCTTTCTTTGATAAACTTTCTTTGACATCTTCATTGTCCTCTACTACCTCAACTGAAAGTGCAATTCAGTGCAATCATTTTGAATGGTTTAACAATCTGAATCAGAAGATCACAATTAGTAAAAATATAATCAAATGATTTTTTTTATAAATATGACAACTGATCTGTGATAAAATGTTCATCTGGTACAGAATTGAAATGTCTATAGAAAGAGTAATATATCAGTGTAAGTGCTATAAAACACAGGTTTATTTTCCCAAATTGGTGAAATATGAAAACTAGTCTGCTTTAACATTCACTCAAGAAAAAAAACAAAAAATAAAAAAACATTCACTCAAGTTTGACTAAGGCTACTTGACAGTATAGACATTTTACAATGACATGTGGTTCTTACTTGAATCAGACTCTGTAGATTTGAGGTGGTAGAATGGTATACCCGGACCGAGACACCCCAGAACATAGTGTTTAGCTGAGTGACTGAATGATGCCGTCACATACAGGCAGTCATTTGAGATATTACACGACATACAGTGTTTTGCCTTAGTCTCTGTGTTCACACTGGAATAAAAATTACAATTCTAGCTAGTGAACGATTTTTGTTTCACAAATTTAAGATTTCACATACTTTATATTTTGGACTGTGATGTCAAATTATACAAATTCATCAGTTTTTTTCAAGGTGACTAAAATCTGAGAATTCAAAATGTACTTCTTTTTTTAAAGTTTTAATATTATTATCTTTACCTTCCTATTCCCATCTTGCAAAATGTATACATAAAACCGATAATGATAATAGCCTCAATATTGGCTCAAGTTAATATTTCTTTAGATGAAATAGTCTAAATACTGGCTTGAGTTAATTTGGTTTAATGAACAAGTCTAAATACTGACCATAGTTGTGACATACCTGTATAGATGTCGCTTTCTTGAATCACCCCCAGTACTGATATAGTACAATTCTTTCAAATTGTCGTTATAAGCAAGTATAGATGTCACCACCTCCTCTCCCATTGTGATGAAGTCTTTATGGGTACTTACCCCCGTCATCTTAAAAACAAAAAGATTTGCTTGAATAATCATGAAAAATCATCAGGACTAACAAATCTGAATTAAAGAAAATTCAAATGACTGATAGTTTAGTATTATAATATAAAGGTGTATTTATATCTGTCTAGTGTCCCTATTAAGTAAATGTCCTTTTAAAGACATAAGGGAATAATATCTTATCAAAACCTAAAATATCAAAAAGCAATTTTCACTTCAATCCAAATACTCAACAAAAACAAAGCACAAATTAGAAGTACTGTATATGTATGTGCATAATTATTGTGACATAAAAACAAAACCTTTCATCGTAATCTCTGACATTTTGATTCAACTCGAACGAGGACTGTTCCCATGTGCACAGGTCTGAACTCATGCATGCCCATGGGAAAATTATCCCTTGCTTGATGTTGTGAAAAAGCAAAATCTAGAATTTTACAAGAATGTTTAGTGAATTAATTTCCTATACATCATAGATATATAGATATATTTATTTGTTACAATTCTTGAATATTCTAGGAATTACATGAACATATAATATTACTGTTACCGGATAGATTTGTAGTTCTGGACAAGTACAGAGGAGAGCGGGGCATTTATGGAGGGGATATAGTACAGATATGTATTCACAACCATGTATCATTTTAGGAGAACTCCATATTAAGGATGTTCAAGTGGCACATTAAAGCAAACAGCAAAACCTGTGTAGGCTATCTGATCAGCTGAAAATCTGTGATCTAAACACCTCTTAATATGACCACTTTCTCTTCGTCTCAATTTGTAATCTCTTATTGAATCGCTTGTTTAAGAAACCTGGCCATAACAGGAGTGTTTGGATCGAACAGGTTTTAGTGCACGGCACAGAGCAATGAAAACATCAATGAAATATTATCACAAAAAGTTCATGATTTATGAATTTATATTTCTGGATGAAATCTATAGTATCGTAAATATGGCTCTCAAATTGGTTGATGGAATTGCAAAAGTACCACTTAAAAATCCTTAATACAAGAAAATGACCGTTTACAGGGCTCATACTACAATAATTGGAAGGATGATCGAGAATGTGTGGAAGATCGTAAAGCTATATCCGGTTTAAGTTAAAGGGGCAACAAGGACTGTAGAGAGAAAAATCGAGCTATCAGGTCAATATTTGGCTTAACATCTTCTTTGACATTCCTATTTTCTTAAAATGTATGAATAAACTCTCAATTTCAGCATTAAGAAGTGTAAATTCAGTTCAAAGCTTCTATAAAGGGAGTCCCACTTATAGATTTTTAAGATCCACCACGCTTCAAGAGAAATATCAGCTAAAATGATATTCATCCAGGGGCTTTCTTTGAATATAATAAAAATATATGTTAGCCTTGATGAAATATCCAAACTTAAATATATTTTGACACTGGTCGACGATCGTTAAATGGCCCCCCTGCACTAATTGTTGCACCTTTAAGATGATAGACTAGGAGGTGGTACATTGTAATACGTCCTGGGTATCATGGATCAAAGATCTAAACATTGAATGTACAATATAAAAATTGTAATAAAAATACAATATAGTTATTGACAATACAGTGCACAAGTATTTTTATTATTATAAAATAGTTTGGTATAATCACTGGTCTGCCTTATCTTATCTGATTTATTTATATATAAGGAAATAAAATTCTTTAAAAGAAATAAAGTTCTTAAAGTTGAATTACAGATTGAATTTGAATGGTGGAAGCCAAATATGCATGCCAAAATTTTTAAGCATCTCCTATCACAGTCAATACTGCCTCCACAGCCTAAATCCAACCTTTTCAAATAAATATCAAAACAAATAAGTAATAACGAGACATCAAGATTGCAAGCAATCTTATAGAGGCCACAAAGTCATTTTGATACTCAGAAAGTAAAAGGTCAGATATCACTTTTTTGATGTCATTCAATAATTTCTTTGACCTTCAAAATTGAACGTTTATTGACTACATGTACTTTGGTAGTTTCATTTTTCTTTCAACTTTTAGATCAAAACAATCAATATGAAAATCAACATTTTGACTTTTTGGAGCTAAAATAAACAATTAACAAATTGATTTTCTAGCTTTTCAATAAATAAATGTCAAATCTCAAATAGTTTGGCTTGAAGCAAGCGTATGTGTAGATACAAATAAAAATATAGATATCTGACCTTAAAACTGAAATTTGACCTTGACCTAAATAAAACAATTTTCCAGCCTAAATCCCATATAAAGGAGCATAGTAGATTGTTGAAAGCTGGCTGGAAGTTCACGTAGGTGAAAAATAAATGAAAATAATATTGCCAAATAAATAGGAGACCCCTAATGAGGTCTCCTAATAAATATTGGAAATCTCGGTGAATTAGTATAAAACATAATAAAAAGCTTTTAGTATTGTGTAAATCAACATATGTAATTGAGAACACAATTTTTGTTTAAACCAACAAAAGCATATGAGTATAATACATTGGTGAGAGCTAACTCATGTGGTTCCTTATTTAGTAAACAGGCCCGTAGCCAGCTTTCATCACCAGAGGGCTCTCATTTTTCAGAGGGGCTCTAATCTTTAAGGGGATTTTGAAATTTCAACGGACCTCAAAATTTTGCCAAAAATTGCTCAATAAGCATCAATATCTAAAGAAAATAAGTAAACATTTCCCTGGGTGAATTTCGGGAGAGCCCCCCTGGCTACGTGCATGGTGTACATGTACCTCGTCACTTGATGAATTAGATGGGAGCTGCAAAGAAATGAGTTGAATAATGTTTACCATACATTCTACAGCACAATTAGCCTAGGCTACTAATAATATAATAATAAAAGAATAGGCTATTTGCAACAGACACATACATATATATATATCATACATATAAACATTACAAAATAAAACATTCTGCTCAATGCTCATCCACTTATTTTCAAAAGCACTAAGTAATACTCTTTTTTAGAAAAATTATCAATGTGTTTACATCAAGAATCAAAGATGCAGTGATAACCATCATTACAGCAAGTGGGGTTTGTAGTAAACTGAGATTTGAGTCTTGCGCCCACCTGAAAATCCATATGCACCCACTCAGAAATGAGAACAAGGCATTAACATGCAAAATGTCACCACCATCTGTTACAGAAACCAACCGCTGATCGCCAACCGCTGATCGCCAACCACCGTCACAAAAAATGGAAACCATAACAATATGTCACCACTTTTTGGTGGTAACATAAAGATTGGCATATTTTGACCAATTTTGGTCTGGATTGCACCCACTCAAGAAAGATTAATCCAGGGGGAGGAGACTGATATGTGTACTGTACCCAAATCAATGTGTAAATGCTGGTTGTACTTACAGTGGTCTCTATCTTGGCTATGTGCCTCCAGAAACCAGATACTCCTTCTCTCTGAGGCAGCCTCATGAAGTAATGGGTCCCAGAGGGTAGGAAAACTGGAGCCTCATACTGTAATGAAAGCACACCAAATATATTGAATTTACACCAAATATATTGAATTAACACCAAATGTATTGAATTTATACCAAATCTCTTGAATTCACACAAAAATATTGAATTTATACCAAATACACTGAATTCACACCAAATATATGAAATCCACACCAAATAAATTGCATTTACACCAACATTTTATTAAGTGGGACTGTATGTTAAAGCCTGATTAAGGTTACCAAACTTATTGAAGGGGTGTACTTTGTATATCACTTCTAACTTACAATATCTATCCACCCTGTACCATCAGTACCATCTGCCTTCAGGTCGAGGTTCTGAAATATTTAAATTTAATTATGTTTAATTTATATAACAGAATAATGTTGTACATGCATACACTGCCAATCTGGAACAGCATCAAACAGCGCTGTTTATGAAACAGTGTTGGACAGCGCTGGAAAACAGTACTGTACATCACTGTTTTGAAAAGCAGTACTGTACAAAATAGTACTGTACCACGCTGTTCAAAATAGGTAATACTAGGATAGCACTTTGCTGTACAGCGCTGTGCTCAAACTGCACTGTACAGTAGTTTACAGCACTGCAGGAGGATATTGATGATGGATTGGGGGTGTACAGACAAGCTCCGTCCAGACCTCTTCTTATAGTGAGATTTATGCGAGGGCTACATACATATTTATGATTTAGAAATATATAAGCACTCAGTGAGCTCATAAGCTGAATGAACCTGCAAATAGTAAACCACAGCAGGATGATACAGCCAAAGAGGCAACTCAGACTTCAATTATTCACAAATATTTAAATTTGCAATCTGGAATTATTAATCAACACATTACATTCAGGTATTTCATGAGATTAAATATTCAAATGAATGATTTCTCTTCTTATTTGTAAAAAGAGGCAAATTAATATAACTGGCATGTATTTGTTTGTACTTACGAGGATACAGTTCCCCTGTGAAGCGCTACACAGTGTGATGATGGAGTGATTCTGGGCCCTGTTCAACCAATTCACGAGCAGGTGGTTGTTGTCTTTCCATACTATTGTTGTAAAGTAGTACTGCCTGTAAAATATGGGTAACATGATTGTTGTATGTGTCCATGAAATGTTCATGTTTTTGTATGGTAGCTATGTCACTTATGTTGGCAATAGTAAACTCCCTATTTGGCATTCACTTAAACAATGCTCCCTACTTACGATAAGGAACCTTGGAAAATAAGGGGACCTTTGGACCTATCATTTAATAGCCTGAAATATTTTTTCCAACAAAGATAACATTGAAATAATTGTCATGTCATACAGTAAACCCTGTCTAAGTGGAATACCTTTGGTACCTCTAAAATGTTGTCCACTCTGGAGGTGTTCCACTTTTAGACTGATTTAATATTAAGACAGTTGGTCTTGGGACTCTGAAAAGTGTTCCACTAACAGCAGTGTTTTACTTCTAGAGGTTTCAGTGTATTTTCTTTACATTTGAAGGTATCTAGATCTTATGCACAATGACTTACCCATCAACGAAGTCTTGCGGTGGCTTTAACTTAACATTGTTTCCACCTGAGTTAACATAGAGTTGAAAGGTTGGGTTGTTTTCTACAGTAGTATCACCAGCCTATAATCAAGAAAACATTAGCGAAATGTCACCACTTGCCATTTGTTACAAATGCCCACTGCTGGATGCCAAACACCAACGACCGAACACCATCCATGAAAAAGAGACTATAATATATCATTATGACATGATAATTCAATTAATATTTTTTCAAGATAAGACCCTTTTCCCAATGAGACTCACCTTAGGGTATTTGATGTCTATTGTCATCCCATAGACATCCCTCCTGCTCCCATAGCTGCCTGTGTCTGTGCCATACCATGGCATACTATATGTCTTCACATTTGTGTCATTGAACATGGCAAAGGCTAGCTTACTAGAGTCAGGTGACCACCAATGAGCCTTGCTGGCACTCAGGACCTCCTCTACAAAAACAAAAAAAATATCAGAGTTAAAAATGGTTCGAGGTTCTTGGATTAGCTAAATTTACAGATCTCATTTATTTCAATGCAAAAGAAAAACATGTTGCTACATCCTGATGAAAACTTATATTATATTATATTATATGCCACCATGTTGAAAATCTATAACTACACTGTATGTCAGTGATCTCCCCATGTCACTTTTACCGGGGGGCCCCCCTACTTGAGACAAAAGACCCCCCAGTTGGCAACCTGCACTTCAACTTCTGATTTGAAAAATGAGTGAAGTAAGCACCCATCTGGAGATATTGTGAGCGTACCGAGCGCTGATTTTTTCTGACTTGAAAACTTGCACCCAGTTGAAAATTTTTTTTGAGAAGAACACTGTATGTATTAGCACCCTGTAAAAATATTCAATACCGAAGTGCTTTAACCAATTCAGGTAAATCAGATTTAGCATTCAAATACCTATCTTAAATCAAAAGTGAATTTCTCATTCATTTTCAGATCTAAATGTTAAAAAACAAATTGCAGGTTCATAAATAAACATAGAATAGTAATACTATGGCAAATTGATTTCCAAGGCATTACACAATATCAGGACCAGAACTGATTGAAGAATGTTCAAAAACCTATGATGTCAAATTTATTCAACTGGAACAAGACATTATATGGCAAAATGTGTATCTATCACCACACTGCAGGTAAATCAAGTTTTCACATAAATGATCTAGACAATAAAACCCCCAAAACATTCATTTTTTTATAGAACTGCATCACCTTGGTTGAATCACATACTTCATATAGGGCCTTTAAATATAAACCAATCCATACCTTCATAGACCCAGTCAGCAATGCCATTATATATGAGACTATCCTCTCCATTGCTGGTTACTTTATTAGGTGTGAGGTCAGGGTCATTTGCAGTATAGAGGTTGTTGCCCATCACATAGCTCTGAAAATACATGAGTAAATGGGTTATAAGTGGACCCGTTCAACCCTTTATTTTGTTAAAGGGTCAGTATAAGTATCTGCAATTATGATCCTAAATAACTCCAACTATTTTCAATTCATAATGATATACAGTAACCTGTAAAGTAGAACACATCTAGCAGTGGAACACCTCTGTTAGTGGAACGCTATTTAGAGGTACCAAAGGTGTTCCACTTAGACAGGTTTTACTGGATATCTTGCTTGAATCATTGGGTTTATGATGTAAACTTGTAAAATTGTGAGGGATGTAAAACTCAATCTAATCAAGAACTTGACCTGCTGCTTTCCAAACGTTGATACATATAATGATCATATATATTTTGGGGTTATTAAGTTCAGAGACACGGCTCTTTGAAGTGGCAAATAAACCATGGCAGTATAATGGGGGAAATTTTATTGCATGCTTAATTATTCAAAACATGAAGCCTATATAGTAGGTTCCAGGCAAAATACATATTTATGTAAATTATTCAGATAATGTCTGCATTCTCTTTTAAATCTCTTTTCATCTCTTTTCTCTGGGGAAAAAAATTCTCTCAATTCTCTCAATCCTCTTTCAATTATGTGTGTGTAACATAGCCTCAGCAAAATGGTTGTCTATCATGTCAAAACATTATTCCAATGAATGGTAATATCCACTCCTATTGTAATTGTAAAACTATTGTAAAATCTAATCAAATCACTGCTAAAAAAGCTTGCATGCAGATGTCATGAACAAATTGGGTAAAAACAACTCAACATTGAGTGGGAGTCCTAAAAACAGTTATAACGCATTGTTGTTCGTTAACTGAGACAACCAAAAAGTCTCAAACCTGTTTTAGTGAACATCTCTATCTTGAGAGACCCTTCCTCCATAATACTATACTGACTTATGTATAAGCTACCCTCTCTGTGGTGAACACCTACTAACATCGAACAATTTTTCTGAACAGTGTCCAATATACTCAGGTTTTAATGTATTTCTGTTGAACTTTAGATGGTACCAGCAAAATGGGAATCAACAATCTATTTCTAACAATCTATTTCAACCAATTTATTTCCAACAATCTATTTCCAATTACTGATTGCTATTGGCTTTGTTTGAAACCTCTACCTAGATAATGAAACACTATTTAAGTTCACAATTTCATCCAGAGAATGGGATTTCATCTCCATATGGCTTGGGTACAGATGAGAACATTATCTTTTCCCATTGTATATATGAGGGGTCTCGCAATCTCAATTTGCAATCAGCCTTGATACGCATCTATTAATAATATATTGGTAAAATTTCTACGCCACTGAAATCGACAAAATTTTGGTAAAAGCTGCTTAAAAATTGTATTTTTATCATATGGCACAAGCTTTGAAATGTACTTCCATTTCATGATTTCACTGAAAAGTTAAATTCAAAAAAATTCTTCTCGGTGTATTAATTTCCATGTTTAGTTTTTCAAACACAGTTGTTATCAAAACAGGTTGTTACATGTTAAAATCTTGAATTGCTTGTATGATTTGTTTTGTATTGTGAAGGACATTACATTCTTCCTATTGAAAACTCAAATTTGTATATTGTGGAACCTCTAGTCTCTATCCATCAGATGTTCATTTAACTTTTGTGACTCTCAACACTTAAGGATATATTATCATAGACGTTACTGGAATAGATTCCCCTTGGTCCCAATAGAGTTATACATCTCAGTCTAAAGTGACTCTATGGTCAATCTTGCCATTTCTGAACTTGGAATGAAATGTCTTATAATCTGGTTTATTTATATAATATGAACCATTTCTGACATGTTTATGATATGTTTATAATCTTGATTCAGCTCTTTTATCCACCATTTCTATTTTTAAAACATGATTCTATGTATCTTTCTCATGGGCAGTACACAGGAGCAATCTATCAAACAATATTGGAAAATGTACTCCTGAATTATAGATGTGTTTATTTTGAAGTTGAATGACCTTATTACCTTCGGAGACAAGTTTGAACCGAACTAGAATGTATAGGCCAATGGCCAGCTTTTGCCAAGGGGATTCACTTCTCCAAAAATTCCAGGAGTTCAACTTAGGCTTTAAAATCACTTAAAAAACTGCATGATTTTTATGAATTTCTGCTCAAATCCCCCGAACCCCCCCCCCCCTCCCCCGGCTATGGACCCAAAGTATCTTAATAATTTGATATGAAAATAAGACAGGTATCTCAGGAAAATTATTGGATATCATAATTTTAACATGGAAACAGTTGTAAAGTTGATCATAAAACAGGCAATTTTGGTAACAACCAGAGAAAATTCCATGCTGCCTCTTGGTAAGGAAACACTAACAGAAGCTAACAAGGGGAGCACATTTCAAGCGTGCTTGTGCTGAAACATTTTTGAGGTCTCTAAAACCAAAATTTAGGCACATATTTTTAAATTCAAGGCCCATTTTTGATAATCTAGCCTAAACTTAAAATATAAGGTCCAAAATGGCCAAGTAATGCCCAAAAAGGCCTACTAATTGAGCCCCTGCTCCCCCTGGATCTGCCAGTGTGAACTCCCCCCATAAGAAGCTGAGAATTTTCCCAAACATACTGAATAGACTTGAGGACCTTCATAGCATGTTCATCAAGAAGGGTAATAGTCTAAAATCTTCCATTCATATGGTACACGGGAGGCGTCTATAAATTATAGATTATAAATTACCAGTAAAACTTTCCATTAACTCATGTTCTCTGACTGATGCGAGAGATCAATAAATCAAAAGATTACTTCGTAATGAGCCTTGAAAAACATATCCTCTTACGATAGATGAGATATTAAAACAATATTCATTTGAAACATCTCCACATACCAGTTTCATGCTCAATTATAAATCTAAACTGATATATTTTCATCATCATCATCATTCTACTGGATATAAATATCCTCTCTCCTCAATTGGGATCTGTTGCATTCTACATATGTCATTAGCAAAAATACCACTTATGTGATGAGTGTTGGAATTTCAGAATTAGAATCATTCTTGCATAGGTGTACCTATCTTTGAGGCAAGGAGGGGAAACATATTTTTCTAACTAATGTTTTTTAACTCAAAATTATGTCCCATACAGGCATAGCATCTTTAGCTGAAATTTTGCCTTGCCTATTTTTTGCTTCTGGGTATCATGCTCTTTTATTTTCTACTTACCAGCTTGTGACCAGAGGTGGACCAGCCTGCATATTGTAATCTGTCTCCATCCTTCGGGAAACTTGTGCTTTTTCTGAAAAATGTCAACTAAACATACAGGTACTGTACACATAATGTATTAGCAATCATGCCATAGGTGAGACAGATTTCAAAAGTATACAAGCTATAGAGTAGTCACTGATACCCTTTGTTCAGATTCCTAGAACAAGGCTCTGGGTACGGAACACAAAACAAACAAAAAATATTGTATTTTGATTCAGTTTCATTCATTTTTACTTATTTTGACACAACAAAATAGATTTACTGCACTGGTTAAAGTATTAGTTCATGAAATATTATTTCACTTTACATGTACAAAGCAAGAAGCTTGCAGATGGGTAAACAAAATAAATCTTCAAAATCATATGAATAGTGAAAAGCCTCTTTGGTAAACCATTGTTGGACCCATAATTAGAAGTCATTGAAGTATTGAGTTAATCTGAAAGAGACATGAGGTTGACAGGTGAAGTAGAGCCCTGATTTTGCTTAAAAAAACATATGTAGAAACTTTTATACATGTGGTATACACGTATATGTATTTTTTTAATTTCATTTTTTATACTTACTTTGTCGCTACATTGTAGACTTTATAATGAGCAGTAAAGGAATGTCTCCATATCTAAAAGTAAAAGAAAAAACGTTAATAATTCCATAATGTCAAATATACAGGGTGTCTCAAAAAAATGTACCCAAAAATATATCAAGAGCACAGATAAACCAATCAATATTTTCAGACATTTTTTGCATGGTCATGTAGCCAAAACATGAAAGTTTTCTCCCCAATACACCATTTTTATTTCAGTCTTGTCTTTTTGATTCTTTAACCCTTTACCTTTTACACCACAAAATCGATGTAACCTCATATTTCGATGACAGCCTGTATACTTACTGCTACATTGTTCATCACATTTGATAATAATTCCGGTGAAATGTTTTGGATTTCCCTTTGGATGTTGCCCTTAAGTTGTTCTAGGTCTTTTTGCTTGGAATGAGCATTAAAACACTCCTTCAAATAGCCACAGAGAAAGATGTTTGAGGATGACGATGGCAGAACAAACGCAGATAATCAGGTAAATTATCGGCAAATGATTCAGGAGTTACCTTCCAGAGTTAGGCAGGCTAGCCTGGAGACCAAATGATATCCAAATGAAAACACAGTGCTCTCAAATTGATACACACAACAAAAGCTACACTAGAATCCCAACCAATGCAGTTTCTTGAACCTCTGACCTCTCTGTATAAGAGGGCTATAAGACATTGTGAGGGCCTCCATATTAACCATATTTGACGGCCCATACTTTTTCTCTGAGGCTATTTGAAGGACCATTTTTATGCTAAACCCAAGCTAAGAGACCTAGAACAACTTAAGATCAGCATCCGAACAGAAATCAAAACATTCCACCAGAAATATCAAATATGATGAACAATGTAGTAGTAAGGATGCAGACTGTCATCGAAATATGACATTACATTGAATATGTGGTGTAAAATGTAACGGGTTAGAGTATCAAAAAGGCAAAACTGAATTAAAAACTGTGTATGGGGGATAAAACTTTCATCTTTTATCTACAAGACCATGCAAAAAATGTCTGAAAATATTGATTGGTTTGTCTATGGTGTTGATATACTTTTGGGTACATTTTTTTGAGACACCCTATATATGCATGAAAGGGAGACCCATGGAACAACCCGATATAATACTAAACAATCTAATATAACCAGAACAACGGCAACGCCAAAGCGTAGCGAATCCCATCGAACAGAAATGGCTGGCATTTTTACAAACGAATAGCAAATATCATAAAACAACACACCAGAAAGGCCACCATTTTCAAAATGGTTGCTCACTAGCCAAGTTGTCATCAGAAGAAATAATAATAAGCTTTTCAGTAGCCACCTCTAAAATTTTTGAAAAATCGCACACGTACTTGTAAAATAACACACATAAAAATGGTGGCCATTTTTCAAAATGGCCGACTACTCCCCAAAGTTTTATTAGACAATGTGCCATGCTTAAAGTATTCACATATCAAATATGAACAAAATTGCTCTACTACTTTTCGAGTTATAGTAAAATACGTTAAAATGGCGGCCATTTTTCAAAAAAAATTTCAAAATGGCCGCCTTCTACCAAAAGTGTCATAGGACAGTGTGCCATGCTTATAGTATTCACATACCAAATATGAACAAATCGCTCCACTACTTTTCGAGTTATAGTAAAATACGTTAAAATGGCGGCCATTTTTCAATTTTTTTTTCAAAATGGCCGCCTTCTACCAAAAGTGTCTTTAGACAGTGTACAATGCTTATAGTATTCACATACCAAATATGAACAAAATCGCTCCACTATTTTTTGAGTTATAGCAAAAATCGTAAAATGATGAGTAAAGGCCACCATTTTTCAAGATGGCTGCCATGTGCTTCTTTAATATCTACATTTGTAGCATTATTAATGTCCTTTATAATTTTTTTACATTTAAAACATATTGATATAACAGTTTTACATATTGCACCTAAATTACTGTAAAATTGGCACTAAAATGGCCACCATTTTGAAATGAGCGGCCATTTTGAAAATCGGCTTTCGAGCAGAACTTCTACCCCCATAAGGTATATATGTACAAAATATGAACAAAATCGGGCCAACAGTGTTTGAGTTATTGCCCGGACGGACGGACATACGTACGGACGGACGGACGGACGGAGGCGTTCCCTATATCCCTCCGAACTTCGTTCGATGGGATAATAACTATATTGAATTAATCCATTGAATTGTAAATCAGACGTCATTCGGGACTAAAGGAGTAACAAATCTTTTTGTTCTCTGAATAAATAATCACAGTCTTCATCAACGTAAGCATATATAATTCACGAATCTGAAATTATCTGGCTAAAGCCATTTAAGAAATCTAGTAGCCCATTGTCGAGATCTTGATTAGATTTACTGGGAATACTTAAGATTTACCACATTGATGTATAATTCGAATGAATGACACGCAAAAAATTGAGTAATGTTATTTGTGGCATTAGCTATTGTCCATTCCCGATCCCAGAATGTTTAATTAATCCTTGGGAATTAACCAAAAGTTCAATTAGAGATTCCGAGCGAGACTTCACCGAGGGAGTGATTCGTGTAATGAAACTCTAAAGCCAAAGGCAATAGCAGAATCAATGTAAAGCTTTATGATGTATAAACCGCAGACTTTACTCCTTGCTGACCTATTTCTACATGCTATAAATAAAGTTCTCCAAATTCAAGTTGGCGATATTATAGACATTTGACTTTCAATCTCAAAAGTCCATTCCCATTTTCAACATGCCATAAATAAAGTATTTGCAGTCAAGGTTGAACACAGACTTACAATGAACTTTGCTACCCAATTTCCAAAAGTCATATTAGATCAATGTCACATAAAAATTAGGGAGATTAAGGTAGGTGCAGTAGAATACGCTTATGGGCTAGCACACTGATGCCATGCTCAGGCATTAAAATCAACCCACTATTGCCTACCTTAATAATAATAATTGAGGTCTTAATTTCTACACTCTATTTAAAAATAACTACATTATTTGCAATATCTTGTATCTTACCTTCTCTACACTAGTAGCTAGGAGAACATATTGCAGATCTTCAGAGAGCCAGAATAGTTCTGTGTCCTGCTGTTTCTGAAATCAATACAATCAATCAGACTAAGTGTTATCCACACAACAACATGTTGACAAATTAGAGCTGTTCACTTGACAAAAATGACAAGGCATTAACATGACAAAATGTCACCACCTAAAACAATTTGGTCAATTTAAAGCAAGTTGGAAAATACCTTTTGACCTTAAGAAGAACTTCTGAGAACATGTAGATGATTTTGAAAAAAAAATTAGTCAATTTGAAGCAAGTTGAAAAAAGACCTTTTTGACCTTGAGAAGGTCATTGAAGGTCAAAGGTCAAATCTAAAGTCAGATTTGAACTTCTGAAAAGATGTACATGATTTTGAAAAAAAAATTGGTCAATTTGAAGCAAGTTGAAAACAGACCTTTTTGACCTTTTTTGACCTTGAGAAGGTCATTAAAGGTCAAATGTCAAATCTAAAGTCAGATTTGAATTTCTGAGAACATGTAGATGATTTTGAAAAAAAAAATTAGTCAATTTGAAGCAAGTTGAAAAAAGACCTTTTTGACCTTTTTTGACCTTGAGAAGGTCAAATGTCAAATCTAAAGTCAAATCTAAAGTCATATTTAAATTTCTGAGAACATGTAGATGATTTTGAAAAAGAAATGTAGTCAATTTGAAGCAAGATGAAAAAATACCTTTTTGACCTTTTTTGACATTGAGAAGGTCATTGAAGGTCAAATGTCAAATCTAAAGTCAGATTTGAATTTCTGAGAACATGTAGATGATTTTGAAAAAAAAATTTAGTCAATTTGAAGCAAGTTGAAAAAAGACCTTTTTGACCTTTTTTGACTTTGAGAAGGTCATTGAAGGTCAAATGTCAAATCTTAAGTCAAATCTAAAGTCAGATTTGAATTTCTGAGAACACGTAGATGATTTCGAAAATTTTTTTTAGTCAATTTGAAGCAAGTTGAAAACAGACCTTTTTGACCTTTTTTGACCTTGAGAAGGTCATCGAAGGTCAAATGTCAAATCTTAAGTCAGATTTGAATTTCTGAGAACACGTAGATGATTTTGAAAAAAATTTTTAGTCAATTTGAAGCAAGTTGAAAACAGACCTTTTTGACCTTTTTTGACCTTGAGAAGGTCATTGAAGGTCAAATGTCAAATCTAAAGTCAGATTTGAAGGTCAAATGTCAAATCTAAAGTCAGATTTGAATTTCTGAGAACATGTAGATGATTTTGAAAAAAAATTTAGTCAATGTGAAGCAAGTTGAAAAAAGACCTTTTTGACCTTGAGAAGGTCATTGAAGGTCAAATGTCAAATCTTAAGTCAGATTTGAATTTCTGAGAACACGTAGATGATTTTGAAAAAAAAATTTAGTCAATTTGAAGCAAGTTGAAAACAGACCTTTTTGACCTTGAGAAGGTCATTGAAGGTCAAATGTCAAATCTAAAGTCAGCTTTGAAGGTCAAATGTCAAATCTAAAGTCAGATTTGAATTTCTGAGAACATGTAGATGATTTTGAAAAAAAATTTAGTCAATGTGAAGCAAGTTGAAAAAAGACCTTTTTGATCTTGAGAAGGTCATTGAAGGTCAAATGTCAAATTTAAAGTCAGATTTGAAGGTCAAATGTCAAATCTAAAGTCAGATTTGAATTTCTGAGAACATGTAGATGATTTTGAAAAAAAGTTTAGTCAATGTGAAGCAAGTTGAAAAAAGACCTTTTTGACCTTGAGAAGGTCATTGAAGGTCAAATGTCAAATCTAAAGTCAGATTTGAACTTCTGAGAAGATGTAGATGATTTAGAAAAAAATTGAAGTCAGTCTAAACAGTATTTGTTAAGTTATAGGAAGTTGTAAGAAATTGTTACAGACGCCGGACGCCAGACGCCGGACGCCAACCACCAACCGCCGTCGCAAAAAAACGGAGACCATAACAATATGTCACCACTTTTTGGTGGTGACATAATGACTAATCAGAATGACTGATTTATTCAAAAGAATTTGAGAAGACAATCACAGTAACTTAAACATCAGAGTAATTCAAATGATAACATGTTGACCAATCAGAGTAATTCACATGATATCATGTTTACCAATCAGAGTAGTTCACATGATAACATATTGACCAATCAGAGTAATTCAAATGATAACATGTTGACCAATCAGAGGAATTCACATGATGGCATATTAACCAATGAGAGTAATTCAAATGATAACATGTTGACCAATCAGAGTAATTCACATGATAACATATTGACCAATCAGAGTAGTTCACATGATAACATATTGACCAATCAGAGTAATTAACATGATAAAATGTTGACCAATCAGAATAATTCACATGATAACATGTTGCCCAATCAGAATAATTCATGTAACATGTTTACCAATCAGTGTAATTCATACAGCATCAGAATGATTAGTTTTAAGTAAAGTTAATTTTTTTTATAAAAAATTAATAACTGTTCCAATGTCACTGTAAATTACGTTACATTATCCCTCTAATCAAACACAACATCTAATCCAGTAATGTTTCTGGTTATCTTTAAATAAACACTACAAACAATATCCTAATTACAAAAAGATAATGCCACAGGCGTCCGTTACAAATCTAAAGATTCATAGGCCATGTGATACGATTGTACGTGGATGAAATATGCTCTGATAACTGCATTTAGAGTAATCAATCTAATCACGCAACGAAGCAATCTCTCTACAAGGCTTACATCCAATTATCACATCACTGGCAAGGCAGCGTTGATAGTTTATTCAATTCAAGCCTCTGACTGACTTGTACATGGAGTAAAACAAATCGGAAAGGATGAGATTTGATGAAATGCCCTGGCAACATAACTTTTCGATAGCCTTTAATATCTCTTGCGTTTTGTAAATTTCAAGCTTTTTGCAACTACTAAAATATAGATATGCTGATATGAAACTTGTTCGACATTCAAGTGAATTGAAATGAATAGGTTTTGATCAAATAAAAAATTGAATTGAAAATGAGTGATTCATAATGTTTTGTCTTATGTTTGTGAGAAATTTAAGGGTTGGCCAAAAATCAACACATACTACACTGTACCACACTGCACTGTACCATACTGTACTGTACTGCACTGTATCGCACTGCACTGTGCTGTACTGCACTGTACCATACTGCACTGTACTGTACTGCTGTACTGTACTGCTGTACTGTACTGTACTGTACTGTATTGACTAATTACTATGCAAAATGAAAAAGTACTCTTCATATCAAGCAGTATCATCATGCACTAGCAACATGTTATTATACTATGGCACTTCATACTTTTTGATCCAAACTCATAAGATCATGATGGTTATCATGGTTGTATTACCCTTTATTTCTGCGAACTAATACTTAATATAATAGATACACAATAGATTTACCAGGCACTTAGTGATATCATTTCCATAAGTTCAGCATTTGTGAACCAAGATAAAATATAAACTGAGCATGGTTTCTAATGACTGAAAAGAACTGACATGAATTGTCACAATGATTTTATCAGTGATTAAATTTAACTCATGACTACCCAGAGTGACAAGATTTCTCATCACCTTAGATATGACCTTGAAACCTGGAGTGACAAGATAATATATCATAAATTTTTTCACTAAAATTGCTCTAATTTGGACAGTTTTCATCCAATTTACACAAAAAGTATCTTAAAATATGTAGAAATGATCTCTGCCGACTAATTTCACTACGTTGAGCATCACCTGTTATAAATGTATGTTGTAAAATGTCAAAAGCTGGCAAAAATGAAAAATCCTCTGGTTTCAAATCGATTTTAGAGCCTTGTATTCAAAAAGTTAATTACACTGTACTCTAAATATGCATTTACTTAACTTTTTCAGGCATTTTTTCATATACTGAATACAACAGGTTTTTGGATATTATTGGAACTGACCATTGAGAGTTTAAGCTTGCATATAAAATCAAAACCCCAACCTAGACCTATGACAAATCGCCTATACAAATGCATCGCTTAAATATTTTCCATTTACGTTTAGGTTGTGAAAACATTGCAAGCTTAAACTCCATATTTTTTGAAAAACTTACAAATGTTTGGTTTGACATGATCTCAATGGTCTTGTTTGTGTCAAGATCTCTGACGACAAGAGCTCCATCACTATTGAGGTAGAAATACTGGTTTTTATCTGGAAATAAAGAAAATATATTTTATTTATTATTTATTTCAGTCTATTTCCAAAAAGTAAAGGTAAATATTTTTTCAGGGATTTTAATGTTTAGAAATAGTTGGTTATGCAGTTGGTATGGTAAACCATTTCAACCCTTAAAGAAATGTTTCAGTTTTATTATACCGTATTCGCCATAATAAGCGCCCAGGGTGCTTTTGAAATTGAAACTCCTATTGTAACCAATTACAAAGAGGGCCCATATATGAGAGAAGTCAAAAATCTCAGAGATTTTCAGGTATGGGAATTTTTCTCGCTAAAAATGCCTTATTTGCAGCGAAAATAACAGCATATTTTTACAATAATGATATGTATCATTATTTCGTTGTTGCGTCATATAGTGTAAGTACTCTATATTTGAAAATTTGATTTTTTTCTGATATATTTGTTAATACTTGGTCATTTCTCGTTATTTCTTGAACCCTGTGATTAGTGGGGTGGGCGCTTATTAGGGGTGGGCCCTTAATACAGCGATTACAGTATTTCTTTAAAAGGTACTCTCAGTTAGAAAGGATAATTTTGATATTCCTTGATAATTCCAACAATGGGATATGCAATTCATGTTTCTTTATCTGTTTATAAATTGCTGGATTCCCACCTTTATGTTAAACTTTTTGATTTTATGACAAAATGCATATCTAGCTAATATTACAGTAAAAAAAATCAATTACTGTTAATCCGGGGATAGAAAACCTCCAAAGTTGATGGCTAAAAAGCGTGTCTATAGGCAGTTTGCACTAAAGTGGAATAATCCTATATATTCATACATGTATCTACTCAAGGTAAATGTCCTGAATGGAAAATATTGAACCTTCAATTCTTCAATTCAATGAAATTAAGAATCTACGTAGCCAACTGCCTTCCTTGTCTGTAGTACTACAGTATTCAATTATAAAGAAGGTTTTATCAAAGCATTGTTCAGTTTTCCTTTACAGGGCATTCACCATATTCTTTAAAACAGGATTCTTTCTTCTACAAATAGACTATTATAAGGCCTGGAGAAATCTTCCCACAATTTTTTGATGTTTGCCCTGGGCTTCAGACATTTCCTGTTGAGAGTTTAATTATACCAGCTAGAGACAGGTGTTTTTAGCATCTCAAACAACCCCCACAAGACGCATAGCTCTAAAGTAACTAAGAGGAGGGAAAACCCCATGATTCAATTGATGACATACAATTTCCTCCTTCGCGCACCTCCTTTTGTCGAAAACGTACCCTCCATCTTGGTTTTCAAAGTTTTCAAATTGACCTAGTTTTAAACCAATCAACGATCGACTCGCTAAACCAATCAGCGACGATGTCATCTCAATACAGATTTACATTATAAGCGTATGTCATCTTTGAACCCTGGGGTTTCTCCCCCTCTTAAAGTAACTGAAGGAAATGGATTGTGTGGAATGGTAGACTATTAGAACAATTCATTTCCTCAAACAAAATCAATTTATTTCATTTCCCTGCGAATTTAATTTTGTATATCTAGACGACAGACACGTAACCAATGTGCTGAATGACCCTTTAATTGCCAGTACCTGCAAGGTGTCAATGAGTCGAACTGGGATTACTATATTTAAAATTGAATATCAAATCAAACAATTGCGAATAGTATGGGATATGTATATCTCAAGTAATAATAACGTTCATCATAAAAATTATGATTTCTACAAATAAGGAAAAAGGAGCCGGGATTGTGAGCAATGGTGTAAAATATAACATTGTTTCAGTGAACTGTACTTTTCATTTGTCTGAAAATTGTTGATGAATGAACAAACAATCGAAAAGAAATATCTACCCTCAGATAATGAAGCCCAAGTTGACTTTACAAAGGAATTCGCACTTGTTCTTCTATTCCTTCATCAAGTTACTGATGGAGTGTCATAAGGGAATAGTGGGATCATGATATCATACTTCAACACCATTTTGTTTCATTTTGCAGTAACTTAATTCGCATATGGGTAAACTTCAACACCTTTGGCTCTAAGTTCAAATCTTGGAGAATTAACCCATGTTTTTTTCTCATATGGATGGAGGTCTCCCAAAACTTTAATTTTGGCGAAAATCTAATCAGTGCATGCATGTGTCAAAATTGCCCTATTTCTCGAGTCAAATTTACCCCACATGTCAAAATACCCTCAATCCTTCTTTAATCCCATAGACGTACACTATAGTATTACATCGATACAATAAAGCCCCTAATTAAACTCAGAAAGGATATAATGTTATAGGGAATACTATCTCATAAAATTATAATGATTTCTTGACAGACTAGATATATATTGGCGAAGAGATTTGGTCCGATGGGGCCTACTGAACCATTCAGTAATGTGAACAACCTAATGGGAAATGAGGCCTACAGGAAGGAAACTGACATAGTTATAGCAATGGTTCGATGGGTTCGAGGGGTACCCCCCTGGCCAAAAAATTCTTTCAAAATTATGCAGTTTTTCACCGATCTGAGCACTTTTTAAGTCATTTGGGCCATTTTTGGACCAAAATTGTCAAAAGTGAACCCCCCTGGAATTTTTCAAAAAGTGAACCCCTATTGGCAAATCCTGGCTACGGGCCTGAATGGAGAGAATAGAGAGTACTAAAGGTCTTATGAGAGCTCTTCAAATGAATGCTATAATAGAAATTAATGAAACGAACATACAACATAAATATCCTATCATTTCATGATTTATTCATTATATAATGATTTCATAATACTCTGCAGTTTAATGTTACAGTAATAGCTTGTAGAACAAGTCACCATACAAGCTTTTAAGTAAAGATAATTTAGAAGATCACAATATTTCGACAATCGTAAACTAACAGCAAAAATGAATTATGTGTCTCAACACCAAATGTCATAAAGAAAATCAATTTTTGAAGTCAAGTGAGGAAAATGACTAAAATTCCAGTCAGACACTAATTTCAAGTTAAATTATTATACAGATTGAGAAACACTGAAATCTAAAAAGCTATCAGAAACCTATAAACATAAATTTTGTGTCTACTTTGTAAAAATCGTAATGGATCATCATGCACCTTCCAAAGGAGAACAATTATAAACTGTCCTAAAATTGAAAAGAAGGTGCATTGACTCCTCTCTCTTCCTAACAAAATTCCCCAAACACTTATATTAATATGGTCAGATGGTTATTTTCAATTAACATAAGCCCATCATTATCTCTTTCAGGATAACAAATTGTCCCATACATTAACTTTTTTCACATTTGCAAAGGTTAACATAATACTTTATGTTTCATTTGGGACTAATGGAATGTTATAAAAATTGGAAATGAATAGTGATAAACATTAGATGTAATGAGAAATTGCCATTCATTTTCTTATATCAAGCTCAAACAGAGTTAGTAGTTTGACAATTATGAATTTTATCGTTCATGCTATCATACTGGTTGACTGAGAAACCTGAATTTAGATTGGCATTTGCTGTTAAGCCTGAATTTAGATTGGCATTTTGCTGTTAAGCCTGAACTTAGATTGGCATTTTGCTGTTAAGCCTGAACTTAGATTGGTATTTTGCTATTAAGCCTGAACTTAGATTGGCATTTTGCTGTTAAGCCTGAACTTAGATTGGTATTTTGCTATTAAGCCTGAACTTTGATTGGCATTTTGCTGTTAAGTCTGAACTTAGGTTGGCATTTTGCAGTCAAGTCTAAACTTTGATTGGCATTTTGCTGTTAAGCCTGAACTTAGATTGGCATTTTACAGTCAAGCCTGAGCTTAGATGAGCATTTTGCTATCAAGCCTTAGTTTAGATTGACATTTTGCTGTTAAGCTTGAACTTAGGTTGGCATTTTGCAGTCAAGTCTAAATTTAACTCAGGCATTTTGCTATCAGGTCTGAACTTTGATTGGCATTTTGCTACCGAGTTTGAACTAAGATTGGTATATTGCAGTCAAGCCTGAGCTTAGATGAGCATTTTGCTATCAAGCTTTAACTTTGATTGGCATATTAATGTCAAGCCTTAGCTTAGATTGGCATTTTGCAGTCAAGCTTGAATATAGATTGGCATTTGCTGCTATTTATTAAGGCATTGTTATCCATATACTCAATCTATGACTCCAGGTTACATGAAATGATTTGTGAGGGATGCTAACAGTATCTATATTTATCTATATTTTTGCATCATATACAATACTTGCTGCATTAGATATACATAATGATCTAACCACCTGCTACTTTGAAAGGTTTATGTTTTCCTGTGATACTATATTATAATTGGCGAATATGTTCAGATGAATCCTCTTGCTTTAGGTTTAGTATGAATTGGGCTGCAATTATTTCAATACATATACAGGGTGGGCCAAAAAAACAATACCCAAGTTTAAGGATGAATATCATATGATATAATGTTAAACCATGCCATGTATTGCATATCATTTTAAAGATAAATCATTTCCTAACAATATAACACCATCTGATTGAAAAACCATTGTTTTGTTGTGGAGTTAGAGGCTAAAATTGACACCAGGGATGTCATGAGCGACCAAAAAATTATTCACTGTAGATTTCCAAATTGTGGAAAATGGAGGGAAATTTGAACTTTGGCACCTTCAAAAGAGGTACATTTATACAAGTATAATGCAAAATTCAGCAATAATACTTATATATTTTTAATTAATTTTGCCTTTAATTGTGTATTAATCTTAAATAATTTTATGTTCAGTCAAGCATATTGAGTGCAGCTGTGACTGCAATATGGAGGGAGATTTGGGAATTTTCATTTTTGATTTCAAGTCACTCACAGCACCCCTGGTGTCAATTTTAGACTCTAACTCCACGAGAAAAGATAGGTTTTTCAATTGGATGGTGTAATTTTGTTAGGAAATGATTTATCTTTACAATGATATAATACATGGCATGGTTTAACATATATCATACAAATCATTCATCTTTAAAAATGGGTATTTCTTTTGGCCCACCCTGTATATTAGGGGCTATGCATATTACACAATCATATGTGATACAAAAGGACATATGTATTATATCCACAATAATGGCCATATATATTAAACAAGTATCACCAAATATAATTTACATATGTTTGGAAAAAGGTCATATGTATTATGTATGCCAGAAGAAGGGCTACATGTATTACATATATTTCATGGGAAGGGCTACATGTGTCGCCCATAAGTCAGAAGAAGGGCTTCATAAATCACAAATAATGTCAAACGAAGGGCCACATCTATAAGAAATGTGTCAAAAAGGGACACATCATCTGTGTTATACGAATGACACAAGGCTAAAGGGCATTGGATTTTACAAAAATGCAGTCAATGTTGGTTATAGGGGCAATTCAGGTCAGGCCCGTAGCCTGAGCGAACCCCCCCCCCCCCCCCCGCGGCCAAAAAATCTTTCAAAATCATGCACTTTTTCACCATTCTGAGCACTTTTTAATTAAGTGTTTTTGGCCATATTTGAACCAAAATTGTCACAAGTGAACCCCCCTGGAATTTTTCAAAAAGTGAACCCCCTTGGCAAATCCTGGCTATGGGCCTGCAGGTTATTTAGCTCGACGTGAAAAATTCTGATTGAATTTGAGGTTGAAACGCCTCAAAGTTTAATGACACGAGAATAGAAAACATTCTTTGAATGAATGACAAAATACAGATATGTGAAAAGAAAGTAGAGTTTTAGTATATCCAATTATCAGTTAATACCTCACTGAACCTTCTGGGAATAATTCTAAATACATTTGGAAAATGAAACCTATATCACTAGGTAGAGGCCAATGGGTGTTAATTCATTTATGAGATAGAAACCTAAATGGCCTGTGAACTAAGTGCTTAAAAGGAGAATCTGAGATCAAAAGCAAATCCAAAAATGAGATCTTGTATTTGGAATTGTAAATGGATTCTTGCAACTTTGCTAACTTTATCGCTTCTTTAACAGGGATGAACCTAAAAAAACTGTTAGGAGTTTTTTAATGTTGAGTCGTAAATTAGCCTCATGATTCTGAAAATGGGCCTCTTGGGAAACTGAGCCAAAATTTCAAATAAAGCAAACCAAAAATGTACCCATATAAGGTCTACCTCTGAACTTGATTAACACGGCATTAACATGTTAAATATCCCCACCTGCCATTTGTTACAGGTACCAAACTCTGAACACCAAACACCAACCGCTGTCATAAAAATGTTGACGAATAAATGTGGCTTACCTCCAACCCATTGAGCCTGAAAGCTCCGTGGTTTATACTGTGGATCTGATGCATCTTCAAATGTGAATGCCTCCCCTAAGTCTACTGATTCAGTTCCTACGATGAAAAAATATAAAATACAATTCAGTAATTGATATTGATACCATATATGGACACATAGATACACCAATGGGGTAATCTATTCTTCAAACATATAGAATAGCTTTTATTTGTTATTTGAATAACATTCAAAATAAAATAAAATTGTATGTTTTCTTAAAAAGAGCATGTTCACAAATCTCAATATTGTGTAATTACATAATTTAGATGTTCTGAAAATATGAGAGGGAAATGTGAAAAATCAGAAGTGAGAGTATCTTTATTAGAATATATGGATAGACCCTTGTATAACTAGAGTGAAATTATAAACTAAGATGAAATGACATTAAGCGCTTTTATTTGCTTGGAATAATTATCATTGAGAAGATTCTAGGAATTTAACTCTTTGATTATACCAATAGAGATTGCCAGTAATGTAATTTGCTGGAACTAAGCTGAAATAAAAGATTTCAATTCTTCAAGTGAAGATGAATTCTATGTCTACGTTACAACATTGTGTGCTTATAATGAATTCGTCCTTTGATGTGCTTTCTAATGTATTATTGATGATCTTTCTAAATAGAACATTTTCCATTGGAGTTATTTTAAATTTCATTATTGTACACTTTTTTAATATTTATATATTCATTTTTTGATTGGGTGTTTGCTTTGCCTTAGTGATGACCTTTATGTTCCTCTAATTCCAAGTTTGAAAGATAAAGGGGAAAATGAATATGTAAACACGAGTGGTAATTTATACGTGATATCAATCTAGTTTATTGGATGGGAAAGCCAACAGATTCCTGATACATAATGGGAAAATGATGCAATGGTGTCGAGATTGTTAAATAATTTGTAAGTAAAGATGGAATAAAGATATAGTAGCTGATATGTCAGACTAAGAAGCTCATTTTTCAAAATTAAGACGAAAAAAAGATCTATATGACGTGTGGATCTAAAAACGAAACGCTCTGAATTCTTTAACCAATGATCTCAACAGACATGTCTATGATATTCATTTTAGACACCATTTTGGTAATGTAAATTAGAATTTGTATAATTCAGTTGTCTTCTGACATGGTTACCATAGTAACTTCAACATACGTGACTTAAATGTGTTTTACAATATAAATGTATTACTTTATGTAAATGTCATGTAAATTGATTTGTGGGGAAGTCAAATGTCGTTCGCTTGAAGCAAAAAAAAACTTGAATCTCAAATTCAAAAATTGTAATTAACAATATTTTCGAGATATCTAGCCCCTAGTTTAAGTGCCTAGACCTCTCCTGTTCAAGGATTCTACAGAAGCTTGTCTATCTTCCTTGCAATCGCCCTTCATTACAAAAGCATCAAAGTAAATCATTTGATTAAACTCTATGTCAGTCATACTCAAGTACTGAAGTGTAAAAATAGGCACAGACGTGAACAATATCGTACCTAAAACACAGCATTGTGGTCTTGTTGACCAAGAAAGCAAGATGGCCGCAGAAAAGTTAATCAGCTCTAGAACTTATCACTGTGTAACATATGTAAAAATTTGAACGGTTTGGCTGGAAACCTGTAGACAAGTCTTGAAAGTGAAGATTTTAAGACGGAAAATCCGAAATGGCCACCTTAAAATTTACCCAGAATGCCCAAAAACCAATCAGTTCTTGACGTTGATATGTAGAAACATCCCTGAAAATTTCAGATGAATCCCTCAAACGGTTTGGCTGAAAACCTGTAGACAAGTCTTGAAAGTGAAGATTTTAGGACGGAAAATCCAAAATGGCCACCTTAAGATTTACCCAGAATGTCCAAAAACTAATCAGTTCTTGACGTTGATATGTAGAAACATCCCTGAAAATTTCAGATGAATCCCTCAAATGGTTTGGCTGGAAACCTGTAGACAAGCTGAAAAGTGAGACGCCGCCCGCCGCCCACCCGCCAAGCTGACTACAATATCGTACCTTTTGTTAGGTACGATAAAAAGGAGGGAGAATAAAAATAATTCTGTGTTTTTCTTCCTATATTCGATAAACTAAAGATGGGAGATCAACAAAAAAACATTTTTACAGCCTTGAGATAATTGCTGGTCCATTAAATACTTGGTAAGGGGGGTTTCTGCTTAATTTGACAGCCTGCCAGGGCTGAGGTACTTGAGGCTAAAGCTATATGACATTTATCAAAAAATGACTGTCTAGAGAGTAATTAGTTCTAATGGATTGGTAACTCTTAGATATTGGATATTTTATCTATGAACGCAAATTATGAACCTGAAATGGAGTCTAAAAGTCAATAATCTGATTGAAAAATTGACTGCCATTGCAGTAATTAATCACTCTCGTTTGATTGTGCCGAGTACATTTGTTAAATTGTTAAATATAAAGTATTTTAAGAAACGAGACATAATCTAAATATAATGTAATGCTGGCAATGTGATGCTATTATACATTAAAATTGTAAATAATACTAAATTCTGTGGCGTATTAACAGTGATATTTTTAAAAGTATAGGAAACAACATGTTAAGTGAACCATGCAGGGCTTGTGCTTGATACATTTTTGAATATATTTTCAAGATTGAATGTCTATAAAGTGATGAGGAGATAAATTCTTATTCTGCAAAAAACTGCCAAGCAATTTGGCAGATGTATAGTCCTGCATCCAGGCATGGTATTCCCATATAACTCTCTTCTTCAGACATAGGTTTGATTAAGAGGTAGGCTGGGGTTACCAGTGGCTTGATGCAAGACTACTTTATACCTAGAACTGAGCCTAATATGGGTAGGATGGGGGAAGAAAGAATAACACATTAGTTCATTAGATATGACAAATATGCTCGTGTTCAATCATTGTCATGCGTCACACAAAATCAACAATTAGTGCTGTGCGTAACATTTAAAAGTGAAATATCAAAAATACTGTCTGACGATCAAGAATTATATTTATATTAAATATAATAAATATTCATTGGTTCTAAAATAAAAAAGTTGTTTCTTCAAGATAAAAACTGTATCATATCATAACTGACCAGAACATATCAAAATTTCATTTAAAAATTTTCATGAGTTTATCCCATGATTATCCCAATACTGGTGTAATAATCAATAAAAACATTACTGATATCACATTAATATTTTATGCTATTATGCACATATGGGAATGATAGCTTGATATCATTATTTATTCCAGATTTATGTATCAATTCATGCAATCATTAACGTACACTCATTTGCTATAGTTATTCATGCTCACATTGATATCATTGATAAAATAACAATAATATCACTTAAAATCTAAATTTTATAAACAATATGACTATAACTATATGATTTGAAACTTGGCGTATTAATCCGCTATACGTTTACTGTAAACATTCTAATATAATATACAATAATTAATTTTCACTAATATGAAAGTGATACTATACTAAGTGTAAAATAATGATGTAATGAGATATTGTGATTTTAGTCTAATTGTTATTAAACCTGGAGAAAATGAGAATATGATATTGTATATAAATATTGTATATATTGCGTATTGTATATAAATATGAAATGAAAAACTAGTTTCAACTACTTTGCTATAGCTAAATAGTGATATAATTATTATTTTCAGATAAGACATATTATGTTTGTAAAGTTTTTGATAAATAAATATATGAGAAATACAGATCCTGTGTCAAAACCGCTGAATCATACATTATTTCACTAATCAATCACCAGTTTTATAAATGTTAATGTTGTTAAAACTCCATATTTAAAATCATTAAATTACAGACGACGAGACATGATAAATTATGAGAAATACTTCAATGTTTTTTATATTTTATGAGAAAAGAAGCAGGTCATGGTTATATATCAAATTAAAGAACACACCATTAGTTAATATTCAAGTTCACATTCTTGAAAAAAACGTACTGTATAAACATGTTGTAGATATAAAATTCACAATTAGAGATTACATCAAACACATTAAATATTATATAAAAATATTTTTAAAAATGTTTTTAAGTGAAAATATTTTAGTCTTCAAAAACAAGAATTTGTGTTTTTGCCATACTTACCAATCCGTTAACCTAAAGTTAAATCGTAAAATTGATTTTGCATACAAACAAGATAACACAATGGTGGACCAAAACAATATAGGTATGAGTAGATGGCGCAGGTGCCATTTGTCTTTGATATTTCATATTGAGGATCAAGATGAAATTGTCAATGAGGAATTCTTTCCAAATTTCCATAAGAAGCGGGCTAGAATCCCTATATATTTGTTTTATTTGGAGCAGATAACAGGAGATTTGACTTCAAAATTTTTCTTCCAAAATCACCCCTTGTGTTGAGGAAGTTTTCAACTATTTCCGTGTTAAGATAATAATTTCAAATAATTCTGCTGATTGTTTTCATACAATTTTGCCTGTTCTCAGTAATTCTTCCAATATCTGATTAAATCTAATTAATGTATGGCAAAAGCATTATTAAGATTGATAGTTCTGGTAATACCAATTGCATGATCTTGTTTATTAGCATCACCATGTGAATCACAACATACAATTAGGCATGAAGAAACCTCGATCCACTTTCAACTGAAGTTAGATTTCTTTAGTGCCAGTGTTACTGCATTTAGGTGCTTGGAAAGGGAACCAATATCTATGTCATGTTTTAATGCAAACTTTTAGACAATGAGAACTTTCAATCCAAGAAACTCAAATTATCATTAAAAAGGCAAAAAAGGAACCAATAGTCCCTATCTTTGAAAACATTCAATAAACCATTCAATAAATCTGAATGTAGAACACTGAAAATATAGATTGCTTTAACATTAAATTCTCTTATGCCGTGGTCACATTTGCTTTGATTTTCAGTGCCAGCACATGTCCAATGAGTATTTTGTTCAAAATTGCATCCAGTTTTAAACAAAATCTTGCTAGGCATCGATGTTGGAGATCAGAGCAAATGTGACCATGGCATCACAGTACAACACACAACCACCCAAAACACACAGCAAGAGCCAAGCACTAAGCTACGGAAAGATCACCCTACATGCATAAAGAAAAACCTGTCCACCAGCAAACCGTCGTGTCATATGGCAACTTACTAGGGTAGACTAAGAACACGGCCACCACAACTAGTGAAAGCACTAGGAGTATAACTAGAGCGGCTAAGCCTATTCCTTTCCAATTCCTCTCAGGAGGTTTTTCACCTATGAGCTCCTAAAAATACAACATTGAAAAGTGGTTGGACATGAGTCGACTCCACTGTTGAGGTATTATATAGGGGCATGGATGCATATCAAGCGGAGACAGCTAACACTGAGTACAGTACACCGCTTATATACCACAGGATACCATCATACAAGGGTCACATGTCAATCAGTCAGTTACCAAGACAATACTCAGCCAGTGGGAGGAGCCTAGGGCTGTCGTCATGTAGCAACGTGTGTATCTATATTCGGCTTTATTTGTCAAAGGATAATAACCATATGAGCGAATATTTCAATTTCATTTTTACAAAAGGTACATAAGTAGTATACCTGGCATAGATTTAATGGTTGTCAAAAAGAATAAAACCTTCAATCAGTGGTCTCCACAGGATTTTTAGGAGGTGCAGAATTTACATTTTCACAAGTCTGACAAAAGTCAGCCAAAATGTCGCCATTTTTCTTGAATTTTTCATTTTCAAACAGATCTTATTTTACAAATCCCAAATGGATGCAGAGCCAATGTGACCAATGCTGTAGAGATCACTGGTAAGAATAAAGACTGTAGAAGCAAGAGTTTTGACGACCACTATATCTATCAAAAATACAGGTAGTAGCTACATAAGCAGATCCGATTCGACCTTGCTACATTCAAACCCCTAGCCCCCTCCCCAAGGGGTACCCAGATACCATTTTGGAGATGCACTCTGTTCGTACTTACGAGGTGTTACTAAGATAACAGCTGTTACAATGAGGGCACACACGATCAATATAACAAGAAGGGCGATCCCGATACCTCGCCAGTTTCTTGTTGATGATGTGCTTCCGACCAATTCCTAGAAAATGTCAACAATTCAATTAGTCATTTTTTCAAATGTAAAATAATAATCTAAACCTAATAAACTAAAACTCTATAAATAAAAAAATAAAAAGATGTGAGTAAAAATGACTAATATGTAAAAACAAAAAATAGCTTCAAGACAAACTATCAAAAATAAAACATAATTTTCAGCTGTATTTCATGCTAAAGCAAATGATATAGCGTCAATGCTCAATGAGTTAGAGATGATTTACATTAGAAGTACGTTATCACCTTTCAATTAAGCCCTCTTGGGCCATAACTTATCAATGTTTCATTTTTGCTCTAGTGAAGTTGATCTCATATAGGTCATGGTCTGCTACACCAGTTAACCAAACTATCCCAAATCAATAACAATTTGTTACTTTCTCCTAAATTGACTTTCGACAGTTGTAATTGTGATATACCTCAGACGAAACAAGAATTGAATTTAGTAAAATTGTCGATGAATTCCACTGAGAAATTAGATTTTGACCAGCTAGAAGATGGACGCTGTGTTCTTTCTAACACCATTATCTACTATATTGAAGAGTATTAAGAATATATCAAGCTATGACTACTTATGCAGCTACTTACTTCAATCAAACCCTGATAAAAACACTTTAGAAATATCTTGATACTCAAGCCCCGTCTTATCCCTATAACACTGCCCTTTTAGATAACATGTCTCAGACCACCACTTCAACGATCTTTATTCGATTCCTCAAGTCCAGATAAAAATCAATACAATAGCGCAATTATACCAAGCCCAATCATGCAATCACTATGTGACCAACTGTAGTTTCATCAGAATCAAACAGAGAATGACGCTCCGATAGTTCAAATACTGTAGTTCCTATTGTAACACTCAAAATACAATATATTTTTCTCTGATGTTCAAATACAAATGACCGCAGTTATTTATTAAAACTTATGAATTAATGCAATTACTCGAGAAAATCATCGAGCTAAAAGTCAAGGCCAGTTCATAAATTCCCAATAGATATCTTGACTTCCGGTAGATCATGCAGAATGAAATTGAGTGATCTTACTGGAGAACTTTAGGCACACGTCTCATCAATCCTCCTCCCAGAACTTATATTCAGACATCGAGGGGTTTCTGGTAGCTAACAATTGAATTAGATGATTCTGGACATTGTTTCCAATAACAGACACCCCTCTCAATATAGTAGAGTAAAATCTGTCTTGGTGAAGACCTCTCTCTAGTAGACACCCTTCCTCTGCACATACTCAACTGACTTCTGTATAAATAATTACCCTCTCTTTAGTGAACACCTACCAATACTGGACAGTTTTTTTCTTAGCAAAAATATTCAATACATACTTGATTTCACATCTTTACTATGCGATAGCTTGCCCGCAGCCAGCTTTTACCAGGAGGGGAGCTTTTTTCCAGGGGGGAGCTTTTTCACAATTTTGGCTAAAAATCATGCGAAAAATTCTCAGAATGGTGAAAAACTGCATGATTTTGAAAGAATTTCTGGCCAGGGGGGGAGCTTCCGCTCTTCCAGCTCCCCCTCTGGCTACGGGCCTGGATAGAGATAATATTTTGACCTAGTCTCAACTAACCAATCAGAATTGCAAGCACAATTTTATGCTTCCATAACAGCAAGCATCTTTTCAATATTCAAACTCCAATTTAAGACCATGAAGCTACCTTTAGGGTTATCAAATTATATATCCTAGTTAGAGGATCATAATCACTCCTAGCCTCTAGATCAGGGTAGAATAGTGAGGATCTAGTATGATTGTATGAAACTGGTCTGAATCGTGTTCATATATATCGGGTAGAAATAAAAAATAATGGGAAATACTTTGACACTCAATATCTCCTTTTAGTGTCTACTGCTTCTAAAAAAATTTCCTACTAGCTAATCCAAAGGCAATTTTTCATATATCCTTTAAAACAACAAAAAGGGATAGTCTTGCTTCAGGCCCTTGTGATCCCCCTGTATAATATCCCTCTAGGTGAAGAAGTTGCATGACTACGAACAGAGAGCTAATACCATCGAATATAATATGAAACAAATACATCAAAGATTTTCTACCTAACCCAATACATAATGGTAATAAGATACTTATGGAGTGATATATAATCATCTTGTTAAGTGAGCCATCCTTCAACTGCAAGAATTTTCTCAATATATTTTCCCTACTGAAATTGGTGCATCTATTATATTTACGAGCACTTTAAACAAGATAATACCAACAACAACAATAAATGAACCCCTTGGGAAGCAGTATACAGAACATAAAGATGGAAGGTTAACAACTACACAATTCAGACAAACCCCTATAATCAACATCCAAAATTATTTAACCTAAAAGCAGATCATGACCCACCTGCTAAATGCTTTAACACCAACTGCTAGTGAGGCTCAAAGATATCGAACAACAACTTTACAGCAGCATAGCTGAGAGCCTATATGATGTAGATAGTACCTTCGAGAAAATATCTTTTAACTGACAGATCGAATGCCTTTACCACTAATTTTGGTTCAGTTTTCAAGATAGCAAAAACATTCTGTGTTTATGTAATATTAACAGGCTGTTTCCTATTTGGTCCAAGTAACTACCATATTGTATTGTAGCTCAAAGCAATACGAAATATTTAATATTGAACGTGAATAATTGAAATTGTTATCAATTATATACAGTAAAACCATTATATGTGGGATGCTTTTCATACCTTGAAAAAGTGTTCCCCTTCAGATAGAGGTGTTCATCGTACATCAATTTAATGGAGATGGAACTGGACTTTGAAAAGTGTTCTACTTATGGAGGTGTTCTACTTACAGATGCGTTCCTCTTTACAAGGTTGACTGTACTTAAGCATATTACAAGTTTGAAAAGGAAAAATCATGGATAAGTAAAGTAATCAAGTCAAAGAGAGCTCCAATGTTATAAACATATTAGCTTGTCTTAAAGTGTCTATTTAATACATTGTTCAATATCACAGCATGAAAATGCAATAAGTTCATACTATAATGTCATCTCTTCTTATTGAATTGAACACTATCTTAACTAACAAATCGATTGCATCTACCAAATCTAATTTTCATCCTAATGCTTTTTCAGAGAACACTGAACTCCAAAAGCATGGGATTAACTACATTCTATACTTCACTGATATTTGAATTGAAATAATCAATGTTTGCACTTGGTTGATTTACGGATATAGTGTTTTGTCTATTTTTGCAATAATGATCTTTCCGTTTCGGATCTGGTCATTTCACCTGGATCACTGTACAAAACAATAGTTTCGTTTAAGGTAATATCTTAATCACTTCAGTTAATGAGGAAATATCCCACTTCCAAATCATCATTTCAACCAGGCCATTTCCATGTATAAATTGTACCAGTTAAACTTTATCTGTGCAAGTTTTACTGCAGTAAAGCTGCAAAAATAATAGTTTAGTTAAGGTGTGTTTACCTCTTGACATGTTAACGAGCAAGTAGTTATTACTGCTGCAATATCATCTAACCAGGATGAAAATACAGCAGTGCGAAAAACTCATTTTCATAATTCTGGCAAAATTTAAACCAATTTTTATGATTTTTTTCATTTTCAAGTGGGTTTTGAAACTTACAAGCTTTTTTCCAAATCTTAAGTGAGAGCAACTACCTACTTGCTTCAATAGATTTGGTATTGTGGTAGGGCCTTCTCTGACGTCACAAACATATTCTAGTCTCTTTATAGTTTCATAATCTAGCTTCAGTTGTTTTTTCGATCATCATCAACAAAGTTTAGCAACATCAATACTAGCAATGTAAGTCTAATTATCTTTTTAAAAGAATGATGCAGACCCTTAAACAATATATTTGGTATTGCCGTAGGATCTTCTTTGACCTTACAAACATCTTCTAATCTCTAATAAACCAGCCTCAGTTCATGTTTTTTGGAATCATGTACAAATTTAGCATCATCAACAATAACGTGAGCCTATCATTTTAAAAGAATGATACACACCCCATATATATACAATCAGGATAACCTACCTTTGAAGATTTCTTGCCATTTACACCATAAGATGCAAGACTCCTATTTTCAGAGCCTTCTTCCATATTCTAGCCTGACTCCAATCTCAGAGTTGCTCTCTAAATCCTATGTATATAATTTATCTTGTATGTGTACTTTTTGAACTTATCAAAAT